CAAAGTAGTACTGGGAAGTGCTTTGCGCGAGCTTTGTAGTACACAGTAGTACTGGGAACGACTTTGTGCAAGCTTTGTAGTACACAGTAGTACTGGGAACGTGCTTCTGCAAGCTTTGTAGTACACAGTAGTACTGGGAAGTAGTTGTTGCAAGCTTTGTAGTACACAGTAGTACTGGAACGTGTTTGTGCAAGCTTTGTAGTACACATTAGTACTGGGAAGTAGTTTGTGCGAGCTTTGTAGTACACAGTAGTACTGGGAACGTGTTTGTGCGAGCTTTGTAGTACACAGTAGTACTGGAACGTGTTTCTGCAAGCTTTGAAGTACACAGTAGTGGAAGTGCTTCGTGCAAGCTTTGTAGTACAAAGTGGTACTGGGAAGTAGTTTGTGCAAGCTGTGTAGTACACAGTAGTACTGGGAAGTACTTTGTGCAAGCTGTGTAGTACAAAGTAGTACTGGGAAGTAGTTTGTGCAGGAAGTGCTTTGTGCAAGCTTTGTAGTACCAAGTAGTACTGGGAAGTTCTTTGTGCGAGCTTTGTAGTACACAGTAGTACTGGGAACGTGTTTCTGCAAGCTTTGTAGTACACACTAGTACTGGGAAGTAGTTTGTGCAAGCTTTGTAGTACACAGTAGTACTGGAACGTGTTTGTGCATTTGTAGTACACAGTAGTACTGGGAAGTGCTTTCTGCAAGCTTTGTAGTACACAGTAGTACTGGGAAGTAGTTTGTGCGAGCTTTGTAGTGCACAGTAGTACTGGGAACGTGTTTGTGCGAGCTTTGTAGTACACAGTAGTACTGGAACGTGTTTGTGAAGTTTTGTAGTACACAGTAGTACTGAGAAGTAGTTTGTGTGAGCTTTGTAGTACACATTAGTACTGGAACGTGTTTGTGCGAGCTGTGTAGTACACAGTAGTACTGGGAAGTGTTTTGTGCAAGTTTTGTAGTACACAGTAGTACTGGGAAGTAGTTTGTGCGAGCTTTGTAGTACACATTAGTACTGGACCGTGTTTGTGCGAGCTTTGTAGTACACAGTAGTACGTGCAAGCTTTGTAGTACAAAGTAGTACTGGGAAGTGCTTTGTGCAAGCTTCGTAGTACACAGTAGTACTGGGAAGTGCTTTGTGCAAGCTTTGTAGTACACAGTAGTACTGGGAAGTGCTTTGTGCGAGCTTTGTAGTAAAAAGTAGTACTGGGAAGTGCTTTGTGCAAGCTTTGTAGTACACAGTAGTACTGGGAAGTGCTTTCTGCAAGCTTTGTAGTACACAGTAGTATTGGGAAGTAGTTTGTGCGAGCTTTGTAGTGCACAGTAGTACTGGGAACGTGTTTGTGCGAGCTTTCTAGTACACAGTAGTACTGGGAAGTGCTTCGTGCAAGCTTTGTAGTACACAATAGTACTGGGAAGTAGTTTGTGCGAGCTTTGTAGTACACAGTAGTACTGGGAAGTACTTTGTGCAAGCTTTGTAGTACACAGTAGTACTGGGAACGTGTTTGTGCGAGCTTTGTAGTACACAGTAGTACTGGGAACGTGTTTGTGCGAGCTTTGTAGTACACAGTAGTACTGGGAACGTGCTTCTGCAAGCTTTGTAGTACACAGTAGTACTGGGAAGTGCTTTGTGCGAGTTTTGTAGTACGCAGTAGTACTGGGAAGTAGTTTGTGCAAGCTTTGTAGTACACAGTAGTACTGGGAAGTAGTTGGACCACGGCTTATAGACGGCCGTGGGTTTTGGGGGGTTTTGGGGGGTTTTGGGGGGGGCTGATAATGTTCTTGGCTACCCGCCTTACAAGATATTCTCTTGGACTTGCTGCTACGCTATCCACTCTTCTCTTGCACCGTACCCTGGCACACGCTATCAACTTCTTCTTGTAACTTGCAAGACACTCTTGATTTTTGCATTGTTGTTTCTTGGGGTGGTTTTGGGGGGGGCTGATAACGTTCTTGGCTGCCCGCCTTACGAGATAAATGGCCATCACAAAATGAGTCAAGGCGTGCATTCAATGATCCAGCAATGGATGTGGCGTCAAACAATTTTGCCGTGTTCTCCCAAAGAATTGATGTCATGCCTTGTCGATCTGCTGAAGAAATATCATGACTTTAAATGACGGCTTCATCCACTGAAACAAATAGTTTGACTGCATTGCAAAATGACTAAAAAACATATTTTTCCCCATCTAATTACGAGATGAAGCCGCTTTAACCAATGGCACGGCTGCGTGAAAGATCCAAAATGGACTGGAATGCTCTGACCACTGTAAATCGGCAGAAAAACAAATGCTCAGCATTGCTGGTGTGCTGAATTCCTCACGGCCGCCTGTGAGCCGTGCACCTTGTAGTTTGTGCAAGCTTTTGTACACAGTAGGACTGGAACGTGTTTGTGCATTTGTAGTACACAGTAGTACTGGGAAGTGCTTTCTGCAAGCTTTGTAGTACACAGTAGTACTGGGAAGTAGTTTGTGCGAGCTTTGTAGTGCACAGTAGTACTGGGAACGTGTTTGTGCGAGCTTTGTAGTACACAGTAGTACTGGAACGTGTTTGTGCAAGTTTTGTAGTACACAGTAGTACTGGGAAGTAGTTTGTGCGAGCTTTGTAGTACACAGTAGTACTGGGAAGTGCTTTGTGCGAGCTTTGTAGTACGCAGTAGTACTGGGAAGTAGTTTGTGCAAGCTTTGTAGTACACAGTAGTACTGGGAAGTAGTTGTTGCAAGCTTTGTAGTACACAATAGTACTGGGAAGTAGTTTGCAAACCTTGTAGTACACAGTAATACTGGGAAGTGCTTTGTGCAAGCTTTGTAGTATACAGTAGTACTGGGAACGTGTTTGTGCGAGCTTTGTAGTACACAGTAGTACTGGAACGTGTTTGTGCATGTGTAGTACACAGTAGTACTGGGAAGTGCTTTGTGCAAGCTTTGTAGTACAAAGTAGTACTGGGAAGTGCTTTGTGCGAGCTTTGTAGTACACAGTAGTATTGGGAAGTGCTTTGTGCAAGCTTTGTAGTACACAGTAGTACTGGGAAGTAGTTTGTGCGAGCTTTGTAGTACACAGTAGTACTGGGAAGTAGTTTGTGCGAGCTTTGTAGTACACATTAGTACTGGACCGTGTTTGTGCGAGCTTTGTAGTACACAGTAGTACTGGGAAGTGCTTTGTGCAAGTTTTGTAGTACACTAGTATTGGGAAGTAGTTTGTGCGAACTTTGTACTACACATTAGTACTGGAACGACTTTGTGCAAGCTTTGTAGTACACAGTAGTACTGGGAAGCAGTTTGTGCGAGCTTTGTAGTACACAGTAGTACTGGGAAATGCTTTGTGCAAGCTTTGTAGTACTTGGAACGAGTTTGTGCAAGCTTTGTAGTACAAAGTAGTACTGCGAACGACTTTGTGCAAGCTTTGTAGTACAAAGTAGTACTGGGAAGTAGTTGTTGCAAGCTTTGTAGTACACAGTAGTACTGGAACGACTTTGCAAGCCTTGTAGTACAAAGTAGTACTGGGAAGTAGTTGTTGCAAGCTTTGTAGTACACAGTAGTACTGGGAACGACTTTGCAAACCTTGTAGTACAAAGTAATACTAGGAAGTGCTTTGTGCAAGCTTTGTAGTACACAGTAGTACTGGGAACGGTTTCGTGCAATCTTTGTAGTACAAAGTTGTACTGGGAAGTGCTTCGTGCAAGCTTTGTAGTGCAAAGTGGTACTGGGAAGTAGTTTGTGCAAGCTGTGTAGTACACAGTAGTACTGGGAAGTGCTTCGTGCAAGCTGTGTAGTACAAAGTACTGGGAAGTAGTTTGTGCAAGCTTTGCAGTACAAAGTGGTGCTGGGAAGTGCTTTGTATAGTGTGGAGTGGGGAGTGTAGAGCGTGTAGAGTGTGGAATGTGTAGTGTAGATTGTAAAAAGTAAGAGTGTAAAGTGTAGAGTGTGGAGTGTGGAGTGTATAGTGTAGTGTAGAGTGTGGAGTGCAAAGTGTGGAGTGTGGAGTGTAAAGTGTGGAGTGTGGAGTGTAAAGTATGGCGTGTGGAGTGTAAAGTGTGGAGTATGGAGTGAGGAGTGTGGTGTGTGTAGAGTGTAGAATGTGGTGGAGTGTGGCGTGTGGAGTGTGGCGTGTGAAGTGTGGAGTGTGGAGTGTAGTGTGTGTAGTGAGGAGTAAACTGTAGAGTGTGGAGTGTGGAGTGGAAAGTGGCGAGTGTGGAGTGTAAAGTGTGGCGTGTGGAATGTAAAGTGTGGAGTGTGGAGTGAGGAGTGTGGTGGGTGTAGAGTGTTGAGTGTGGTGGAGTGTGGAGTGTGGAGCGTAGAGCGTGGAGTGAGGAGTGTAAAGTGTAAAGTGTGGAGCCTGGAGTATAAAGTGTAGAGTGTGGATTGCGGAGCGGAAAGTGTCGAGTGTGAAGTGTAGAGTGTCAAGTTAAGTGTAGAGTGTAAAGTGTAGAGTGTAAAGTGTAGAGTGTGGAGTGTGGAGTGTAAAGTGTAGTGTGCGGAGTGTGGAGTGTAAAGTGTAGAGTGTGGAGTGTGCAGTGGGTAAAGTGTGGAGTGTGGCAGGTGGTGGTGATCTCGTTGTGCTGGTGATGTTGCTGTGCTGGTGATGCTGTTGTGTTGGTGATTTTGTTGTGATTTCATTGCGCTGGTGATATTGCTGTGCTGGTTGTGATTTCGTTGTGCTTGTGGTGATGTTGTGCTGGTTAGTTGTCTCTTTGTGAACCGCACGATGCATGCAAACATCGGTTCGTTTTCCTATTGCAGAGGTTTGCACTCGTAGTCCAAGAACGTGAATACATTCGGGTTCGTGGCTTCCATCTTGTTTTTGAGTACCATTTTGTTTTGGACAAAAACGCAAAATGGAGACTGGACGAAAACGAGATTTTAACCAGGTGACCTGTGCACTTTGTGCTTTGCTTGCGCCCAGTCATGTTTGTGGTTTGGCATGCCATTCCCTGACTTCCAGAGGACTCAGATGAGTAATGTTTCGCATGAGATATTTGCCTGAAGATGCTGGTGCACTGGCTGCATTGGCTCGAGAAGGGGGTTCAATTTAGGGTAGTTGCATTCATACCGGTTGGGGCTTTTAGGAGGAGTGTTGAGGAGTGTTGAAGAAGTTGAACGTCAATGGCCTTGAAGCCGAGGAGTAGCTTGGAGGACTTCCATGGTGTGGAGAACATCAGTCACAATCTAGGGGATGATGAGGAGAACATGCAGCCAGGACGGCAGACCCCCATCAGCCAGCGAAGGCCTTTGCAGCAACGATTCAACTTCAACTGCATGGCGCTCTCACCCACAAAGTGTCGAAAGCAGAGCCACGGCCTTGCAGAAGAGTCTCCATTGAAGTTAGCCAAAGATGAAGTGTGGATTTCTCCAGCCAAGCTTCCTGAGATGCGTTCTGGCACATTTAGCTTGTGGCTAGAGGTCTTCAGAAGATTGGGTGCCCGGGACATTGTCTCCAAGGCGGCTCCTGTTTGCCGGCAGTGGAGGGATGTGGCACAGGACAGAGAGCTGTGGGCTCTTGCCCGGCAGCATCTTAGGCTTGTGGATTGCCACGTTATGTTGGACAAAGTTGTTGAAAGACGCTCCAAGGGCCGAATCTTCAAGTGCCGAGCTTTGGGCTCTGGAGACATTGTCATGCTGCGCATGGTAGACTTGGAGCTGACAAATGCTGGCCGAGATGATGGAATGCCAACTTCTTTTTTGCGAGAGGCAGCTTTGCTTTCAGAGCTTCGGCATCCAAATGTCATCCGACATTATGGTGCAGAGATCCTGGACAAGCGAGGAGTCGTGTGCTCCGAATTCGTCTATGAGAACTGGACCAGTTGGTTCAAGCGACTTGAGGTCAAATTTCCTTGCCAGCGCATGGAAGACATCAAGGGCAACTTCTCCCAGATGTTGAGGGGCTTGAACTACTTGCACCATCAGGGTCTTATGCATCGGAATTTGAAGCCAGACAACATTTTCATTGATGAGCTTGGGACTGTGAAAGTAGGTGACTTCACCACGACTCGAATGCTTGACATTCCATTCCAGGCGTACACCCCGGAAGACCCCAAGGAGAGAGACCGCTCAGGCCGCGAGATGCGACGCTTGTGGTACAGAAGTCCTGAGCTGATCATTCGAGAGGAGATTTATGGACCCAAAGTGGACACTTGGTCTGTGGGATGCTTGTTTGTTGAGGCAGCCACTGGTCGTCCACTCTTTCAGTCGGATTCGGAGATTGACCACCTCTTCCGGATCTTTCGACTTGTAGGCACACCCACTTTGGCCAATTGGCCTGGTGTAGTGGCCGCAAAGAACTTCTCACCAAAGTTCCCCATGTACCAGGGCTTTAGCTTTGCACAAGTTGCTCGAGCCGAGAGTCTGAAGCCTCAAAGCTTTGAAGATCAGCAGCGCTTGTGGCTGCAGGCACAGCCAGATCGCGAAGAGATGCTACACCAACTCATCCAAATTGCCAGGGTGGTGGGAGTGGATGGAATGTTCTTGCTGGACCGCTTGATCACGGCAGCACCCTTGTCCCGAGCAGGTGTTGAAGAGACCCTGAGAATGCCATTCTTTGCTCCGTCCTTTGGATCAGAGCAGGGATCTCTGGGATCATTTGGACAGGGAGCACAGGGACGGTTACAGCGGAACGTCCAATCCTTCCACCCGATGACAGAGCTTTGGCTTGGTGGTCGACCCGTCCGCCTTGAAGAGCAAAGAGAGCAAAGACCTCAACCAAAAAACCTGGAAAACCCGGAAGCGAAGTCATATGCAACTCCGCCAACACCGGCAACCACACTGGCAAACATTGGCTCTGCACAGTCCCAATATCCACCCATGGCCATACCTTCCAGTTTGATCACTTCAGAAATGGTGTGGAATATCTTGAACGTGATGTTGGAACAAGAGCGAAGCCCCTCCAGTGTGTTTGCGACTTGGTCGCTGCCTCCAGGCTTCGATGCAAATGCCCGTGCAGTTCAGGTGGATTTCATCATTGGCTTGGCATCATCCATGAATTTGAGAGCCAGTACTGCTCATTTAGCCTGTGCTGTCTTTGACAAGTACCTCAGCTTGCAGGAGAAGCCCGTGATGCCTGAACAGATCAAAGTGGTTGCAGCCACATGTTTGAAGGTTTCAGATATTTTTGGAGAGCAGAGCAAGGAGTACTACAAGCAGGAGAATTCTGTGGAGTACACAGAGGCGGCTGTTGGCAAGTCCATCACTCCTTCGCAGATGTTGAGTTGTGAAAAAGAGATACTCCCAAAGCTTGGTTTCAAGCTTCACCATCCTACTATCCGTTGGTTCTTGCAGTGCTACATTGCCTATGCGAGGTTGTCAATGTTCGATGCCGTGGGGAAAACGGCCTCGTTCATTGCAGATTTGATGTTGTTGGATTTTGAGCTGCTCCTGTACACACCATCCTTGAAAGCACAGTGCGCTGTGTTGATGGCAGCATTCTTGGTGCAGCAGGAAGCCACTTTGCATCAGCCCCACCAGCCTTTGGACAAGGCAATGAAATCGTTGCCCAATGAGGACCAGTCTGACAAGTGCAAGTCAATTGGACCTTTGCAAGGATATCTTTCATGCTTAGCGTACTGGGACAAGAACATCCGAGACGCGGTTTGCAGGGCCAATGTGGCCGTGGATGCATCCATGTGCCTGCAGGCTGTGGTTCGGATGCTTCTAGACAAGCGGCGAGAATGGAAGAGCTTGCAGTTGAACGCCGTAGAGATCAAGCATGCTCAGCTTGCCAGGGCTCTGGCATACCCAGATCGTTTCCCTGTCTTCAAGCTGTTGCGCTACATCTTGTCCGACCACCAGAGGAGTTTGGTCCCAGAGTGAGGCCAGAGTGCCAGCGCGCTGTAGTGGCCCTAATTCAAGATTCGAAGATATTCGAAGATTAGGCTAGAGCAACAAACAATTCCGCATGGCACAAAAAGCCAGCTGGGACTCACCTGAACAAGATAAGGTCTGAGCACACTCTGAGCACTCTCTGATGTCATGTCACTTTCGTCACTTTCACTCTTGGGACTCTCACACATTCTCACACCACCCTTGAGCGTTTAATGCTGATGTGACAAGGATTGTGACTTCTACGAACTGATGCTGCAAAGGCACATAGCTCTAGACTCTAGCTCCTGTTGTTTTCCTCCATCCGACCCTCGCTTTGCAATATCTCGTGAATTCTTCATGTTCATTGACTCCCTGAAACTCGAAGAAACCCTGGAAAGCCGATCCAATATGCAGGTTTCGAATCTTTGACCAGAGTCGTCAACTCACAACAGAAATCAACAGAACATTTGCGTTCAGAACGCTTTCAGCGTTGTTCACGCTGTATTCTGTGGACTCTGAAAGATGCAAGGGGTCATTGAGATTCAATGATCAACGCGCAGGCTGCATCGCCAAGTTGGAGAGTTGAGCCACCAGCTGTGCCGAAAGCAGCGCAGAGGCTGCGCCATCCAGGCACGGAAGGGGGTGACACATGTGACACAGACATTGGAGTCCTTGGAGCTTGTGAACTCTTGTGATACACAATGATGCGTATGCATTGTAGCTATTTGTAGCTGACAATTTTTTCTTTTCTGCCCAGTGTGTCAGCAAATGTCTTGTGATTCATTGCTTCTTCAGATTGCTTGTAGGCTGCGCCTTCCGCAATCTCGGCATCAAAAGAGTCCTTGGGCGTAGTTTTGGTTTTCTGGAGGTTCCGCTCTTTTGGCACAGTTGCTGCAAGCAAGATTACTACATGCGTTTGAAGCAGTATCAAGATTCTATTATACTATATTATATAATATATAGCCAATTTGTGGCTATGACACTCTTACAGCCTTGCTGGTACTCAGTTCTGGATAGCAAGCTATGCAGAAAAGTGTTGCCAGGTGATTGGATGGTGACTGGCCTTTCTGACCTTGCAGCATCTGTCAGTCTCAAACTTGATCCTTGGCATGTTTCTTTTTGGTCCCTAAGTGCGGTATGGCAACAGAGGACCTGCTGAGCATGGCCAGGGATTAGCTGTAGAGATATAGGTAGAGGCTAGCGCACTACTGCAGTGATGGGCAGAGAGACTCTTCTAAGTGAATGCAGTAGAGAGTGGAATGTATATAAAGCATGCGGCCGAAACTTGTGGAGTGCAAAGTTAGGCAATCTTAACTGCATAGTTTCAGGAGACAAGCAAAGACATGCAAAGACAAACTTCAAGTGCTTGGAACGAAAGCAATACACTTGAAGGAGCAGAAGCCCAGCGAGTTGACTCTGTGAAACTCCTAGTATTTCCTCAGTCTTGTTGATCCCGACCGGCGCTGATGCATTCAGTTTCTCAAAGCTAAGCACATTGCTGAAGCCAATTGGATGTGTCAAAGTACCAAGGTCTTTTTTTTGCAAGACAGGGCCACAGAAGCTCGTGTTTCCCGCAAAGCTCACCGGCGAGGAGCCGAAAGAACACAGACTCAAGATCTGTAGGATCTCTTTAGGATCTCTAGGATCTGCAGGATCTGTAGGATCTATAGGATCTATTGAGTCTCTTGTTCTCTGCCAGTCTCGGGTTTGGCCGGTCTCATCGTGCAGCCAATGTGCCGTCGAGGAGTTGAAAGATCAGCTGCGAGAGCCCTTGGGCCTTGCAGCCGACACACCTTTGGCCCTGAGCTACCAGAACGGGCCGAGTCCTGAGAAGCCCAGCTTGGACACAAGTCTGGATCCACAGAGGATGGTCAGTAATCCATGAGTCTAATATGTATATATGATTATATATATATACGTATATATACTTTATATATGTATATGTTATATTTATATATAAGTTAAGAAGGTTTTACTATAATATCTACTCATTGTAAGGATTCCCATTGTGGGATGACCATTCCGCATATACTACATATACCATGTTTTGATCTGAACGCACAACTAGCTCAAAAAATCTGCGATGTCGCTTAGGTCTCGAAACTCTTTGAAGAAGGTCTTAGAGGAGAAGCAAAGTTTGGCCGAGCAGGGAGTTGAGGACAGACTTAACATATCCCGACACTGCCATGAAAAATCAGAGCAGAAGTATCTGAGATGCTTGATCCTGTCAACATGATGCGTATCATGCGATTGATCGCCCACTCGTTAAGTAATGGCAAAAATACATGACTCTCTTCGTAAACTGTACCAGGATGGGGCATTTGTGACCGTGAAAGTGGATGCCATTGAGGCAGGGCTGAGCGCGACTGTTGGTCTTTCATGTCTCTCTGTGAATCTCCAGCCTTGTGGTACAATTGGATACAATTGGATACAATTGGATACAATCGGTACAATCATCCTTAGAATAAACCTTGAAACATCTTGAAACGCATACGATTTCATCGGTTCCAGGTTCGCCCTGAGAACTCCTTCCTGCGTGAGTCGATTCGCAACAATGGCGGCAATAGTGACTCAGTTGCAAGCCGCTGCAAGCCTTGTGTGAGACAACAAGTGCAAGATGCAGCCTTTTTCTTGGTATATTTGGTATCCGCGGATGAAAGGCTTCAGGCATTCCAAGTGACATTTTTGGTATTTTTGGGCCGTATCAGGCTACTACTACGCCCACGCCAATGAAAAGGCTTGGCCAACAGCTGCAGGGCCGAAATCCGTGAGTCAGTGGATCTGTGAGGAGCTGCCTCCTGAGCTCCGATATGTCTATGGTGGGGATCCCATCAAGTTGGGATCCAACCAAGAAGGCCTGCCGGGCCTGAGGAGCCTGAGGATGTAATGTGGCCACAACTTGAAAGCATGGATTACTCTTTAATCACTTGCACAAATTGAACAGTGTGTCAGAGAAAAGGCAGCAATGTGCTGGATCACATACAAGATGTTTGAAACCCTGGCCTGGAGGCTATGTTTTGAAGGTGTGGGAACCAAGCCACAAGATCAGCCTAATTTGGTTCCCTGCCTCCCTGCCAGCTCTTTGGAGTTGAATGAAATGGTTCACTGCTTCAAATACCACCCACGAGGGTTTCAGAACAGCCACAGCAAAACTTCGCCCTCAGAGCTTTTGAAACTGGAAGAAAACCCAATTCGGCACACTGGCTCAGGCACCTGCACCCAAAGCGTTGACCCACTATTCTTGGGCAGACGAGGCCTAGCATTCATGCAGCCTCTTTATTGAGGTAAGGAGTCTAATGTCGTAAAAAGATGTAAAAAGTAATGAGTGTTATAGAAGTGTACCTCTTTCAGGACGTCACCTGTTTGGTAGGAGTAAAGAGGTCACTTCCTGAAACTCGCACAAAAAATCAACAAAAGCGGTAATTGCACCCTAAGTGCTGGCCGCTTCTGAGACAGATCGAAGCTTCAAAATCTGCCATCAGGGAGACTTTGTTTGCATCTACGTGTCTGCTGAGGGAGAGCCAGAGGCGGGATACCTTCATTGAGCTGTATACTTTAATACATTGACAATTGACAATAGTATGTGTATATCTTCTGTGTATCATATGTAGATAGTATATACATGTATATACACTGTATAAGTATATACTGTATGACTGTATGTATTTATGCATGCATGGATAGATGGATAGATGGATGCATGGATGCATGGATGCATGGATGCATGGATGCATGGATGCATGGATGCATGGATGCATGGATGCATGGATGGATGGATGGATGTATGGATGGATGGATGGATGGATGGAGGGATGGATGAATGGATTTATGGATGTATGCATGGATGCATGCATGCATGTATGTGTATATATATATATAATGTATTTACTCGCAGCAACAGATGATATTGTATTGTATATATAATATAATATATAATATAATATATTATAATATATATATAATATATAATATATATATATATATAATATAATATATAATATATAATATAATATATATATAATATATATATAATATATAATATATATATATATAAAATATATAATATATATATAATATAATATAACTGATTATATATGCAAGTCCATGGATGCGCAGCAAAGTCCCAAAGCTTGGACCTGCAAGTTGTGTCTCACGAGGCAGTTGAAGCAGCCAAGGACGGAGAGGTGAAGGTGCAGATTTTATTTTCTATGTCCAGAAGTGAGACGAAGCCGACTTTCTGCAAGAATCCAGGTCCAATTTGAGCCGAGATCAGCTGAGCTTCGGATAAGCAAAGACTCAAAGGACCAGCATCGCAAATTCTCGAGCTATCAATGCTTTGACTTGCCAGCGTACGTTTGCACATTGCTCCTGGCAGGAATACGCCCTTAGCCTCCGGCAGTTGGAAGGTGAAATTGTGCCGGGCCCTGTTAAGCTGTTTCCATCTTTTTCCCAGCCGATAATATTGGATAATATTGGGCGTTACTCGTACTGCAAACCTAAACTACCAAGGTTTTTTCAGAACAAACGAACCAGCAGCTTGATGGCTCTGGCTTTGCATGTGCTCAGGTGCCTGATGAGTCGAAGCACCGAGTTAGTGCTGGCAAGAGGCCATGACTGCCATGACTGCTATGACTGCCATGACTTTTGGATACAGCATGATACAGCCATTTGTCAGATGTTGTCGTGTTTCACTCCGACAATTTGGAGGGTGACCTTGAAGATGAAAAAGAAGCGAACTGTGGGGAGCTCAGTTACGAAAGGTTACTCACCAGCCAAAACAAAACCTGTCTCAGACATGCGCAGTGTCCGTGAGGGAAACCTCTGTCGCACCATCTGCTGGACAGGTGACATGGACCAGACTTCAGCAAAGCAAATGAGTGGATCCGTTCGCCCAGTTCAAACCTGGAGCTGTCCATGGAAGCCCGGAAAAGGGCTCTTCGAATGCATGCCACCTGTGAACATTAGTCTCTTTGCAGTTCGTTGAGGGGCGCCCCCCAAAATATACACCCCAGCTCCATCCTGAACTAGTTTCAATAACATGCAAGTGTAACATGGAGAGAAAGTCTAGTTTCGTAATCAGCTGAGCGGAGATTGTGAGTCTCTTCTCAGTTACATCTTGGATCATCTTGGATTTGGACCGCATTCTGGCCATAAACTGTACAGGTAGGCCCCCTCCATGTGTGGAGCATCGGCAGTTGGGCCACTGAGCCCAAGTGGGCCGGTGCTGACGAAAGAAACCAAAGATCAGTGAAGCCAAGATGCAAAATTCAGCCAGCTGAATTTCCGCAGACAAGAGATTCAGTTGACCAGTTCATGCACGCCAAGAGTCGCCGGCCTCATCAAATTCCTCAATTTTGCTCGACTGTGAGTGATCAGCTCCAAGTTCGGCATGAACAGCAAACCACATCCAAGTCGTAGGTCGTGGAGCGTGTAGAGTGATGTATGGTCTTCGGTACGAGGCACGGATTGGAAGGAGTACCTTCTTAGACTTCAGATATAGTTGGGTTTTTGAAACATAGTTGGCAAAAGTAGCCTCTCAAACTGGGCCGACCCAACGATCCAAAAGCATTGTGAATCAACGGCTCCCGTTGTGATGCATGGCTCCAGTCTTTGAGGCAGGGACCACCATGGGTCACCATGGATCACCTAACGAGATTCTAGTGTTGCCAGATTTTAAGATATTTAAAGTGGAACTTGGCAGGCGCCGATATCCACGGCCATGCGAGGACTGTTTGAGACACCAGCGGTGACTGTCACTTGTAGTAGCCCGCTTCCTGTACTGTCCCTCTAGATAGATAGAAATTGTTCGTCCAAGCACATTTAGCCTGCAGGATCTTTTGGCCGTGAAGCATGGATTGCAGGCCATTGTGAGATAAGGTATGATGCGACAAAGGGCACACAGTCAATTCTTTCACACCAACAAAAGAAACTGAGACAAAAGTAAAAGTATGCACTGCTTCTTGTTCGGGCCTTCACAACTGCTGAGTGTGAACGTTTGATGTTTTTCGAAGATATGCTCTGCATCTTCTTTCCTGGGAAATCTATAACGGCATTGAACATGCCTTTTAGGTGTGAAGTAATCCCTTCGGTCGGCAGAATTTGTTGGTGGGAAACCAGGTACCACTGGCTTGCTGCCAAGCCTTTTTGTGCTTGGGTGCCTCTGGCGATATAGAGGTGCACATCAGTGCACGGCGGTGCACGGTGCACATTGCAGAATGCAGTTGCTATCAGAGTTGGCTTCAGCTTTATCACTCTTTAGCGTTCTTGCCAGATTTTTTCAGGTGGAGAAGGCTGCTTAGAGGCAGTCAAGGCAAGGTTCCAGCTGGTGTTGTTTGATGGTATGACTTGCTCGGCTAATGAGAAGCACTATATAATGATCGTATCCAGTCAGTCTCTAGCATAAAAGGTGACTTCAGCAGGTGTGATGCATGATATTTCTTGAGAGTTGCTTCTTGGGTTCCTCCTGTGCAGTTGGTTCAGCTGTGTTGTAGACTTCTGTTGTGCAACTCGTCTTCAATTACAGGGAGCTGAGTCAGAATCCTTGCTGATCACTTTTGGTACGTCTTCCTAAACTTAACTGGAAGCCACAAGGGTTCGCAAGCTTTCTCGAAGTCAAAAGCCTTGTGTGACACGATAAAAAGATACCAAAAACATCCAAAAGGACTTTATAGCAGAAACCACTTCCGTAAAACTTCTGACCTCCGGAGGTCTTCCTTGTGTTGGCGTTGGCTTTGAGCTTCCCAGTGACATGCTTCATGGCTGGCGACGAAGGCCTATATTCGCAGGACGTCTTGTTTTCGTTTCAATCAGAACTCAGATTCTCCTGTCGCGTTTCGAGAAGTCGTCAACTTTGGATCATATACCAAGACAGGTGGACTTATTTGCAGCCTAAATGCCGGCGCGTTGAACCCACTGGGTGGAAGCATCTTGGCTTTTGAATTGCACAAGACGGCGCCCTCTTTTTTTGCTTCTGTGATTTCCTGGTGCCTGCCGCTGGGCGAGGTCCAGGGATTCTCTCCACAGGCGCGGCTTCAAGCTAGTCCCAGCACATGTACCACATGTACCAAGTGGATGCATTGGTGAAGCGGTGAAGCCAGTTCTAAGATCATCTACTGCGTAATTGAATGTGTAATATAAAGTGACACACTGTATGAATATGTATTGATATTTTTCGAATCAGGCTAAGGGTCAATTGTTGCGGACGATGCCACCAAGAGTCACTCGTTTTTGGTTTTGAATGTCAGATATGTCAGGCCTCGGAGTTTCTGGACAGCTCCAGTTGCAAACGCATTTCGCAGTTTTGGTTTGGGCACCTGGAGGGTGAACAGTCCACACAGTCCCATGGCGACGGATGTTGACACTTGCCTGTTGAGGCGCTGGCCTTTGTCTGCACCTCAGAAGCTTAGTGTTGATCAATGATGATCCAAGACGATCGAATCAAAAAACAAACAACGGATATCTATGGCAACCGTGTAGCTTTTCATATCCACATGTTCCATCATTTTCCCAGTGTTTTTTTTTCTATGTTTTTTCTGGCATCATTTAGTATCCACGAGCCTTTCTGAGCGCACAGGCATGGTGGTCTTCTGGGCGGCCTTTGCGACCAGGCAGTTTCAAGAGGGCACCTGAAAATGGGGCACTTTCACCATTGAAACGGCAATTTCGGGCTATACCACCATGTTTCAATGTCTATTTCTGGACCAACCCAAAGTGTTTGAAGACTCGACATTTCTCATGGCGATTTGGGATGATTTGGGCAAGTTTCCAACTCAGCTGGTAGGTGACTTGCCCAGCAGCCGAGATGCCTTGCTTTGCCCAAATGACTGGCAGTGAAAAGACGCGAAGCCGGACGACTGGCTGTTGATCCACAAGACATGGAACATTTTGGGTTTTTGAGCAGGGAAAGCTGACACGGGGAAGCTCTGACATGACATGGGGCAGCTGATTAGTATCAAGATTCAAGATACAAGATGAGAACCACTGTGCAAGGACAACCTGGTCTGAATTTTGTCTTGGCAAAGCGACTTATACATTTGCAACCGAACACACTGACCGACTTGGTCTCTCTGTTCATCCAAAGAAGTAAAATACAAAGCAGCTTTGCGGAACAGAAGGATAGTCTTGCATGCCAAATGTAGACATCCTGTGGAAAAAGGTATTCCGTTGGCAAAGATCCAGCCATTTTACCGTCATGGGAGGGCCAAGGTGCTATGCCAGTGGAGAACTGTGGAGAGTAGGAGAGTTGAGTTCGTTCCTGCAGGTCACTGGAAGCTCCATGGGATCGTTGGGGACCAAGTCTGCGCAAGTTGCTGGTTTTCCTTCAAGCCCAATACGATCCATTGCCAATACGTATGTAGTCCACTTCTGCCTTTGATGGTGCTTCTTTTCTACTGCAGTTCAAGCAATGTGGGTGATGACCCGGAGTTTCGATGGCTCTCAAGATTTGGAGAAGAGGATTCCGACCAGTCGCTTCTAGGTTTAGACTTCCAGGACCAGCAAGCGATTGAGGCATGCTCCTCAACCGCTACTGTAGGCTTCGAGCTGATATTCCATGAGGAATGAGGATCACTTTAAGACCTACTGAAAGCACATGATGCAATCGAACCAGAAAACTGGTCTTTTGAACAATCCAGACAGCTACAAATGACAGTTTTCACATGTTTTCACCCACATTCCAGCAATCATCCTGAGGCCTATTGTTCAGACCTTGAACGAATCCTGTCCATGCCGGGTGCCCAGAGAGATCCAGAGAGTGAACAGATGCGGGGCTGACCGTCTCGACGCCAGGTCAAATGATGGGCAGTCGTTTGCAGAGCATGTCGCTGCGATGGACCAACGCTTTCAGGAGGTCGATCTGCATTGGAGTCAGGTTGCAGCAACTCAGCAACTCAGCAACTCATTTCTTTGGCTCTTGACATTGCAAGGGCAAATCGGTTCTGTTGTTGTGTTTGAATACTGTAGTTGGTTCCCATCGGAGTGATTCTGAGATATTCTGAGTGTATATATAATTATATATATAATATAATATAATATAATATAATATAATATATATATATATATGTAATATATGTAGTTATACACGTTAGTTCCATTTTTCCTTCAGAACGGCACTGGAGTGTTGCCAGGCATGGTTTACAGCCAAGTTTGGTGATCCCAACGCGGACCCGATGCAGGCCACCATGGAGTGCCATGGAGTAAACTGATGGAGAAATATGGCTATGGATCAATCCCTATTAATACCATTTTTAGTGGAATGAACATCCATTTACCAGCTATTTTGGGGTTCACTAGGTACCAGGGTTTTGAACCATCCCCATATTGATAATATTGAAATATATTGAAGACTAAGATAGATTAAGAGAAATTTCAGGTGGTTTGCGACAGGCCTATCGGACGCCACCAACTGCCGGGGTGGTTCATCCTCGACAGAGCTCGGGCAGTTCCATCAGTGCACAGGGGTCCAGATCTGAGCCCAGCTGTCGCAGGAAAGATCCTGATGGATCCTGATGGATCCTGATAGATGATAGGATGGATGATAGGATGGATGATAGATTCTGATAGATGATGATAGATTCTGATAGATGATGATTATTTGAGGAGATCCCTCAGTTTCTGTCACTTCCCTCTTTTGCAGACCAGTCGTTAGTCTATCAGGTCGGAGATTCTCCAGCGCCATGCTTCTTTACTGGAAGGTCGCTTTGCCAGGCGCTGCAGTCATACCAGTGCTTTTTGAGGTAGAAGCCTAAAGCAGATTTCCGTATTTATGCTGTTGCATGTCTAGTCTCACTACCTTGATTTTCTGGGCTGAAAATCCTCTACCAGCGAAACCCTGGCAGAAAGTGCTGCATTGTTTGCAAATCAACTCATCACGAATTGTGCGCGTGTGATTAATGCCATATCCATTCCTCTTGGTACTTACCCGTCCGAAAAGCTAAGCTGCTCATATCATGTCACGTCATGACCATGCGGACCTTGGAGTGGGCGCATGTCAAAATCAAATGTCAGAGTCAGAGCGCAGAGAAACTGCATCAACCTGTGGTTTCGCATCGTGAATGATCACCTGAGCACGATTTTATTTTGACCTGATTTCAAGTGTGAGAGAGCTTTTGGAAAAGAACAGTGGAACTGCAATAGTCAACATGTTCCAACATGATATATGGGTAGTCACAATGTGCCACAATATGTTAATGACGTGTCAGCGTGTTCGAATGCTTTCATGTAGGCCGCACGCGGTTCCTGCTGCCGCCGGACCACCTCCCCGGGAAGTTTCAGTGCCTCGAGAAGTTCGGGAAGCTCGAGAAGCTCGAGAAGCTGGATCAGGTTGGAGATGTCAGACCTGTCAACATGTCCAAATTCTATGTAGAAGTTGTATGAAGTTGTTGCATTCTGTTGCAAAGTTGTCGGAGCAGAATAGAGATCGAGATGTCTGTTTGGAACTCATTGGATGACAGAAAACATTTCCAATAGATCCCGGTAGATGTCGCTAAGAGAAACAACTAGGTGCCTTTACCCGGAATTTAGCCTCAGCGGCGGGACCTTCAAGTGATGAGCTCAGCTGGACCTCCGCATGTTGCGTCACTTGGAATCAATTGAGGTCTTTGGTAATCAACAAAGCCAGTCAGGAAGTTTTCAAAATGGGTGCTGTCAACCTCAAAAACCTACAGAATCACCAAAAGAAATAGAGCTCATTTTGAACTTGGTATATCTTGGTATTCGATTTTTGACTTTGATTAACCTTCTAAGATGTTCTAAGGATATGCCAGCCAAGCAATATCAGCAGCTTCTCCAAGGGTTGGACGTCAGGCCTGGAGTTTTCTTGGATGATCTTCGTCTATGTCCTTCAAAGGATTCAAATGACTTGTTGCACTGCATATTCTCAGGATTTCTCAGAATTTCTGAGGATTTCTCAGGCAACAGCATTGCAGCTTCAGAGGTTACTTCCCCGGTTTCTGCCAGTGTCGTGAGGATTTCTTCCGCCGCTGCGGCTACTGCGGCGCACCAGTGGCACAGGATGTCGCCTTCTGCAGTCATTGTGGCTACCAAGTGGAGGCAGCAGACTGGCGCTCCGCTTGGCCCAGGCACGCTGTGCTTGGAATTTGGGAAATGGTTGGAATTTCACCAAGATCACTGGATTTCCAGATTTTGTTCCATGTCAACCCGTGCTACACCCATGAGATGTGGAGGAGACCCGATGTCTCAGTTGAAGTTACCCGATGTCACCCAATTGACGTTGTCAACGACAAGTAAATGACAATGGAGCAAGTGTTTGCAGCAAAGCAATTTTGCTGGATCATGCTGGACAATGGCAGGCCACCGCCACCGCGTGTTTGAGAGAGGCCAGAATCGCAAAACGATCACTGTGATCAATCTGCAGCCCAATGGCCCAAAATCATTAGATGCCAAAGTTGGTTTTGTGTACAGGTTTTGGCCTCGTGCCAGAGCTGCTGCAGGCAAATTCGCTGCATTGGGGACTAGGTTGGTGAGCTACGTTACTACGCTGGAAAATCGAAGCAGTGAATTGTGCACCAGCAAGCTGATTTACATGTGCAAATGTCCGATGGTGTTGGGATCCTCGCCGGACTCAAAGCCTCTGCCCTATTTTGGCTCAAGACTCGGGCAGCCCGTTGCTGACCCGAGCCCCGCATGCGAAGGCAGGGGCTTGGATTTCTCTGGATTTCTCTACGTCCCAATCTAGACCATTGTTATTCTTAATCACTAGAACTAGAACTGCATCATTGATTGCATCATCGTGATTCAAACTGATATAAATTGAAATAGAATGACAAAGTTATACAATATTATACATATTATGTGTATAGAATTATGTACATATACTATCGTAGTGAATCATACTAATACTACAATACATACAGTTATGAATCCGATCATTGTTATCATTGGACATTCCTAATGACGCGTCCCGAATTCCAATCCTTTCAGGTCATGGCCCGCGGTGCCTTCGCTGCTTCCTGGGAGGATGGTCAGGAGCACCCAGAGGAACAGCCAGGGGTCCAGTTCACTCATTTTATTATCACGGATTAGTCATTAGTGGGTGAAAAATGGTAAGCATATTGTAAGATTTTTAAGGAAGATGATACTACATCATACTACCAAGTAATCAGTCTGATCAAGAACTGCCGATTATGGAAATGATTGGAATGGGATTATGAACCAATTCAGTATCACCAGAACCCCAACCACCCTTTGATCACAGGCTGTGCGTCTCAACACTTGAGGTCCAGCGTTCCCAGTGCTGGATGTGAGGTGGCCTGCGGAGATGCACTCGACAAACCGCATGTTAGATGACAGGAAACTATAACCTTGGAAGCCTTGGCATTCAGTCAACAGAGTCAACAGGCTGAAACATGCCTTCAGAGATCTTGATGATGCTGGATCCCAAGAATGACAGCAGAAAAGTCCTTGCAACATGCATTTTGTAGCGGCTTCCCTTCCTTTTTCTGTCCTACAGGCAACGATACTGCCGCGACCACTGTCGTAGGGTGCTCAGAACAACCACTAGGTTGGCACAGGCGCTATAGACATGTATGTTGCTTCTTTATGCTTTCTGAACATCTGAGTCGGTCTTGGGCAAGATTTCATTGCCCCTTTGTTCGAATGCTTAGCCGCCAATGCGTCAACGATTGGCTGGGCGATGGTTCTGGTCCGCCAGCCATGGGATTGTTGTCGGCAGGGATGCGAATTTCAGACTTGTCCTTCACCGAAATTTCAAGTAGAAATTGAGGCACCGTGAACTCCCAGAAGAGTGTTGGATCTCGTCCTTTTGCACCTGATCTCGATGATCTTGAAACATCTTGAAACCATTTGATACTTATTGCAAATGCCAGGTCTGCAAGGTCTTGCTTCAAGGAGGCGTGGACACGAAATTGGTATCTTGGACTTGGAAGTCTCCAAACTGGCCCTCTCAGCGCCGTTCACAAACACTGTGATTGCAGCATATTTGCAGGGCCTGCCACGTGACCAAGGTACTGCATTTCTGAGTCCGGAGAAAAAGACATCCTTCCAATGGGGGCCACCTCCAAATCAAGGCTGTCCGAGCTACCCGTGTAATAAATGTGCATGTGTATATCTATACGGTTGCCGTATATAAATATATATATATATACACACGTATGTAAACATATATATATATATACACATCACATATGTGTGTATGTATATATGTATATATATACACGTAAGGGCGACGTCATCTCAGTCCTATCTCCTTGCAACTTGAAGGATGAATTGAGTATCATGTCAATGCAGTGCAACAATGATGAAGATCATCGTAAAGATCCGGCTTGCGACAAAACCTGGAGGCTTTCAGCAGCCTCCGCCACAGCAGTTTCAGCAGCCTCCGCCACAGCAGTTTCAGCAGCCTCCGCCACAACAGTTTCAGCAGCCGCCCCCACAGCAAGGTGGTGCAGATGTGGTGAAATCAGATTTGGAATTCTGGTAGTTTGGAGCCAATGGAATGCAAGTGCACTATGTACTGTGCTGACCATTTGATGCGATTTTTACCGTTTCTTATCCACTTTTCTTACACACTTTGGAAACTATGAACCCTTGGCAGGTGGATATCCCCCGCAGCAAGGCCAAGGCTATCCACCGCAGGGCCAGGCCCCGCAGGGCTATCCGCCAGGGCAGCCAGGTGCCTACCCGGGCCAGGGCTATCCGCCACAAGGGCCACAGCAAGGAGCGCCACCAGAAGCTACGTGGTTTAAGGAGGTAAGATATTGTAAGTATGTACAGGATTGTACAGGTACCCAAGTATGTACACTTCTTTCATCCATTTTTTTCGGATTTCTTGACAAGAGCGAATTGTTGGCCGTGTTTTCTGAGTGGCAAGGATACTACCAGGGCCAGCCAGGACAGCCAGGTCCAGGGGTGCGGGTTGTAGAAATGATGGAACACATTGCCAAGCTCTATCAATCTTGAGATAACAGCGCAAACACAGCAGACTCATGGGCTTTCGTCAGGTTACCCAGGAGCTCCGGGGGCGAAAGGTGCTCCTTTCACGCAGTTGGGATGCTCAGAATCATTAACATTGAGGAAGCGGTGATGTCAGACTTAGACAGATCTTTGGATAGGCTGCTGCTTGTTCTTTGCAGACCCTCCTTCACAGTCATAGTGAACAGGGATTTGCATTCCGGTTCCATGAGTCCAGAGGGGAGAGAAACATGCCAAGAAGTCAACTTGAAAGTTCCACTGCCGAGGAGCCCTTCTGCGAAGTCCAAGGCGGCCCTTATCGCAGGACATGGGACTTTGAATCGTAGGATTTTGATGCTGGGAGCCTTGCACAGAGACCAGCTTCGTTGGGTGCAGCTGCAGGAATCATGTCCCCCTTTGGGATTATCATCATCTTATCTGGCCTCTACTTCTGGTGCAGGACGCTTCAGCTGTGTGACTGTTCATGACTCTTCATGTGTCGCTTCAGTAACACAATATATAGAACGGGCAACACTCCTTAGAGACTCACATTGTTCTTTTTGTGCAGGGTTATCATCCAAAGTGATGAACAACTGTTCCATTAGACCAATGTTGCAGGAAACCAGCCCCACAAGGAGGCAGTGGAGGAGATGCTGCTAGTGATATTGAGGCGAGGCCTCCGGACCGCCACCGTCATCCTGGTTTGAGTCACGCCGCACAGCGTGACAGCGCCTGACAGCGCCCAGGACAGTGACATGGAAGATGAAGGATCGGGCTCCGAGAAAAGCTAGCCGCTTAGCCACAGACAATGTGCTGTGTGTCTCGGCCGAAAGGCAATCAGCTTGGAGGAGCCTCCAGCGGGACGCACAAGTAGCACAAGCTTTGAACAATCCTAAATTTGATGACTGTTTTGGCTGTGGTTAGCTTCTGTGTAGTTCTCAATTCACTTGTTTGTTCGACTCAATGCCGAATCGTATGGGGGCTCTCCGGTTCTGGAAAGTCCAGAGCAGAGCGCCGGGCGATGCTGTTTCAAATCATTCGATTCGCTCCCGTGTCATTCCCCAGTCATACGCACATGTGCCTGGTGCGTAGAGAAATGTCAATAACTTACATGTGCTTGGTGCCTTCCAGACCTTGTCATGTACCTGATGGCGAGAAAAAGCCGTCCTTGCCACTCACTAAGTTTCGACATGGCCCGACATGGGGAGGAAACAGCAGTTTGTTGTTCAATTCATGGTGATCTGTAGTAGGAACCAAGACTTGAACTTTCTATAACTTTCATTCAGCAGCCCTCAGTTCTTCTGGTTCAAGCTCGAGCCATTTGGATCACATCATTCAGTCGACCTTAGCACCCGGAGGGCCGGAGGATGGTGAAGGTGACAATCTAAAATGTCCGTTTTGAAGTTCAAAGCGGAGATATTTTTGTGGAACACATGACTTGCCATTTGATTTCCTGATCATTGAAACCTCCACATCCATTGGTTTTCCACAAACAAACGTTACAATTCAGAGGATTTCGCAACCAATGAAGTTTGCCCTGCGATGGTGCGAGCACGCCGACCCCAAAGCCTCAAGGTGCTGGCCAGCCCAGTTTCGAATCGTGCAACTAGCGACAGTGAAGAAGGATTTGTGTGTAATTGTGAATCATATTATAATAACCTAACCTAACCTAGCCTAGCGTATCCCAGCCTAGCGTAGCGGAGCACAATGTAACGTACTTGCAACGTAACGCAACGCATAGTAACGCCAGGTAAAGCAATGTAAGGCAACATATGTAATTTAATGTAATCTAATGCAATGTAAGCTAATCTAATGTAACCTAATCTAATGCGTTGTAACTTAATGCAACGCAATTGTCATTGTGATCAAATCAAATGCAGTCTTATTTCGTCTATTAGTGTAATCTAGTCTAATGTAATGTAATGTAACCTATGTATGCAAATATAAGCACCTGAAATCCAACAACATGTTGACCAGTCATACTGTGACCTGAGCGCACATTCCCAGGCATTGCTCCTTTCAAGGCTCCGTGATCGACAGGCGTCTGATAAGGCCTTCGAGATCCATTTCTGCCGGAGATCCATTCAACGCAGACCTGGTTTCTGCGTGCAATTCAGTGACAAAAATCCGATGGAAGCATTGATCAGTCAAGTCCAACACCTGGTTCAGGAACTGCAAAGTGCTCTGTCCACCCTACAACAGAGAAACTGGCTCTCTGGCTGCTTGGCATTGAACTAGACACACGTGGTGCCGCCGGGCAGTTAAACGGTGCTTGTTTGTGCTCCGTCTGCTGACGCTTTCGCTTTGTTTCAACCTGTTTATCCCTTCCAAGCAACAAACGCATTGATTTCCACCCTCGCAAATGATTCGATTCCTGAAGTATTGCTTTGCTCAGACCAGCTTGCTGTGGTGTACCGCTTCAGTGTTGGTTGAGTCTTTGTTCTTTCTCTCACTGATTCTCGAGGTGCGAAGGAGCCTTGGTGGGAAGAATTTCAGTGAACACTTGGCCGCTTAGTCTTTGAACGTCGCACTCGCAGTTCTCAGGAGTATGCCATTGCAGTGGGAAGCCTGGGACGCAGGTTGCTTTGGTTACAGGCCAGGGAGGCTTTGATTGCTGGATATGTTTACAGTATATCATAATATGTAATGTGATGTAATGTAATGTAATGCAATGCAATGCAATGCAGTACAGTGCAATGTAATGTAATGTATGGATGCATTCATGCATGTTATGTTATGTTATGTTATGTCATGTTATGTCATGTTATGTCATGTCATGTCATGTCATGTAATGTATGTACTGTATGTAATGTATGTAATGATATGTAATGTATGTAATGTCTGTAATGTCTGTATTGTATGTAATGTATGTACTGTATGTAATGTATGTAATGTATGCAATGTATGTAATCTATGTAATGTATGTAATGTATGTAATGTATGTAATGTAAGTAATGTAAGTAATGTATGTAAGAGTAATGTATGTAATGTACGGTATGTACGGTATGTACGGTATGTACGGTATGTACGGTATGTGCGGTATGTAGGGTATGTATGGTATGTATGGTATGTATGGTATGTATGGTATGTATGGATGTATGGATGTATGGATGTATGTATGTAATGTAATGTAATGTAATGTAATGTAATGTAATTGTAATGTAATTGTAATGTTATGTAATGTTATGTAATGTTATGTAATGTTATGTAATGTTAGGTAATCTTAGGTAATGTTAGGTAATGTTAGGTAATGTTAGATAATGTTAGGTAATGTTAGGTAATGTTAGGTAATGTTAGGTAATGTTAGGTAATGTTAGGTAATGTTAGGTAATGTTAGGTAATGTTATGTAATGTTATGTAATGCTATGTAATGTGATGTAATGTAATGTAATGTAATGTAATTGTAATGTAATTGTAACGTTATGTAATGTTATGTTATGTTATGTAATGTTATGTAATGTTATGTAATGTTATGTAATGTTGATTCGGGACACGTACCCTCATAAACCATGAGGTGTATGTATCTTGTTTTGGCTCAAGTAAAATAGGAGTGTTGCAATTTTCTGATCATGGTAGCGGAGCGCTCGGTTAAGCTCCAGTAGATGCAAAACCTTTGGATCCCCATCGAAACCCTTGGTGACAGAGTGGTAAGGTTGTGGTACCGGTTGGTTAACAGGTTGTTCAGGATCCGCAGGTTGCAGAGGTACTTCGGCCACTTGGGGCAGCACCTACAGGACTTGGTGCAGACTTCGGAGTTCAGGCGACGGCTGCTGAACTCTCGGTTGTCTCGACCGGGAGTTGCATACGCTGAGCCGGAATTGCCTGAGGAGCCGTGATGGCGACCATGGAGGAGATCGTGGCGCAGATTCAGACGTTGCGGCAGGAGCCGCAGGAGAGCCGAAGGAGAGAAGAGGACCTGCATACCAGACTCCAGGCAGTGCAAGCTTCAGGAGCGGTTCAGGCAACTTTGGAGGAGATGGTGAACACGCAGAAGGCCATCTTGGAAGCATCTAAGAAGCCTGACAGGAAATTGACTTTGGTAGACAACCGTGGGTTGGCAAAACCAAACAACTACGATGGAAGTGCGGATTTCTTACAGTGGAAGATCCGACTTGAAGCGTTTGTGGAGTCAGTCCATGACGACTTTGGGAAGGCTATGGCTTGGGCGGAAGATGAAACCGACCCAATCAGCAACTCTGCAATGACAGCCGAGTTTGGAGACGTCAATCCTGCTCAGGAGACAATCCCAGACTTGGAAGCCAAAGATGCGCAGCTTTACGCAGTCCTTCAGACGCTCTGCGAGAAGGAAGCGTTCACGCTGGTTAGAAGCTCAGGGAAAGGAAAGGGCTTAGAGGCTTGGAGGAGACTTTGCAAGAGGTATGACCCGTCGACAGGAGGACGCCGACGAGCGTTGCTCCGTAGCGTGCTCAGTCCTAGCCGTTGTGGCAAGGTGGAAGAGTTGAGCGCAGCGGTCGAAATCTGGGAAGACCAGGTTAGACAATACGAGAATCGACGCAAAACTGATGGCACCAGGCCAACGTTGGATGAAGACATAAAGATATCGATCTTAGAGTCAATTTGCCCGGTTGAGGTTGAAAGGCATCTTCAACTTAATCAGGCACGATTTGCCGATTACCAGGAGGTACGCAAAGAGTTGTCGACCTACTTGGAAACGAGGATCGGGCTGAAGCTCAAGGCAGGTTCGTACGTTGACACCGGAGGAGTCCAGCCAATGGACATTGGAGCCTTCGGGAACGACAAGGCCAAGAAGGTTTGTCACAACTGCGGAAAGCCAGGTCACTTCAAGTCCGACTGTTGGGCACCAGGTGGAGGAAAAGCTTCTTCGCAGGGAAAGTCTGGTAAGCAAGGAAAAGGGCAGAAAGGCGGTCAGCAGTCCAACTCAGGTGGAAAGAAAGGATCTCCGAAAGGATCGAAAGGAGGAAGCAAAGGAGGTGGAAAGGCCACCAAAGGCAAAGACAAAGGCAAAGGAAAGAACAACAAAGGCAAAGGAAAAGCTATGGGCAATGTTGAGGCTGAGAAGGAACCAGAAGCTGAGGAGCAGGCCGGGTCTTGGGATGCCAGTGGATGGGAAGGTCATGATGAATCCGGTTGGAACAACTGGACTGAAGGCGGTCAGGGCTCAAGCCTGGAGGGTAATTACCTTTCTCTAGGCGCGTTGCACCGTCCCGCCATGGTGACCAAGCGGCGTGGCGATTCCGAGAGCCGCTCGGGACTTGCTGACAGCTTGGTTGCAGCACTAAGGAACCTCCCACGTGGCACAGATGCCGGGTTGCGAGACTCTGGAACTGGTTCTTCCGGAGATCGCTCGGTCGACATGATGATGAGGTTGATCGACGAGAACTACAGGCTGCGTGACCAACTGAGGGCCCAAGGTGACCAAGAGCAGAGAAGCTCAGAACGTGACAGGAGCCGTCGAAGACGTTCCTCACCCCAAAGGGAACCAGAGCCCGAAGAAAGATCCCGTGATAGGTCAAGGCGCAAGCGGCATGACTCCAGGCCGAAGCGCGATCGTGATGATGACCGACATGGGAGACGCAGGGCCAGAAGTGAAAGCAGCGGCAGGAACAGGGAGTTGGTTGACAGAACGGCCACTCTGAAGAATGCCGCAAGGCGCAAGAGCGAGACTCCAGCGGCCAGTGATAGAACAGTCAGCCGAACCCCAAGGGGTAGCGTTGGCGACTACTTGAAGAGTAAGGCCGAAGCCAGAAAGGCTGGTGAAGCAAGATCTTCGACTGCTTTGGTTGGAGACTTGCCGCCCGGCTTGAGGGCACCCAGAAGTCCTCCCGGGCCACCTCCGCACAAGCGGAAGAAGCTCGAGATCAAGCCAGAGAAGAACGAGGTCGAGCTGGAGGAGCGCACCGACGCCAAGAACACGAAGCCCAAAAGTGAAGGGGCGCCAGCTATCAAGGCGAAGCCAAAGCCCAAGATGAACTCAGGGCTCACCAGCGGTTCACTCTCGGTGCTTCGTGGCACACTCGCCACGCAGCTTATGCTGGATGCCGAGAAGACCAATGACCCCGAGTTGAAGAGGGAACTCGAGCGCCAGAAGAACGAGCTGCAGCAGCGTGCACCAAGAAGGTCAGTGGCGATTACGGCAGAGAACATCAATGACCAGTCATTCCATGATTCCAGGTACTATGCGGACGTCGCGTCTGGCAAGGCGCACCACATCGCTTGGAAGAATGAGAAGGGCCGCCGTCGAGCCATCTTGGATCGTAAGGGCGGTGTCATCGACCGTGCCAGGGAGCGCATGCGCCTGGATGCGGAATGGCATGAAGAGCACGCTCAGCTGAACTCAGGTTCAAAGAAGCACGACGTGGAAGGCCTTAAGGCCGATGTGGAGACCGAGATCATCGACGAGAGGCAGCGCGACAAGGATAAGCCCCTGGAACCTCAGAAGGAAGCTGTGGCTTTGAGCCGCCGGGAGAAGGAATCCTTCCGGCAGTTTCCCAAGGACGAGCAAGAGACCTTGGAGAAGCCCACAAAGAAGAAGGAACAAGGGCCGAGAATCAGAGGGCCCGACTACTACCGTCGGAAGAATGCCGCCCGACGTGAAAGACAGAAGGCCGAGAAGGCCGAGCAACGAGCAAAGGAAAAGGAAGGTCGAGACCGTGACCGACGACACGGATGGGATCCGGAAGAAGATGAAGACGATGGTGGTGGTGACACTGAGAGTAACAGCAACTACCTCAGTTCGCTCTTGGCTCCTCTGGGTGGATCGCCTGGAGAGCCACACGTGGTGGAAGAGCGCGATGGATGGAGGAAGATTGAAGTGAATCTGGACACGGGAGCCGCCGCGACGGCGATCCCGACAGACTTGAACCTGGATGGACATGCCAGGACTCCACCACAGGACGTCAACTACAAGACGGCGTCAGCAGAGTGCCTTGCTGACGAAGGTGGTGTAGTGCTCAAGGGCACAGATGTCTACGGAAGTGCCAAGGTGTTGGAAGGGCGTGTAACAGGAGTCCACCGCACTTTGGCATCGGGCGCAAAGGTTGCGCGACATCACTATATGGCGCTGGGAGCACATGGAGGTCAACTCATTCCCAGGAACTCCCAGGCTGGAAAGGAATATGCAGCCTTCATGGAGAAGCTGCACAAGAAGTACAGTTGCATGACACCTGTCAAGGTCCGCAATGGGATCTATTTGATGGACTTTTGAATCGCACCGGGCACCTCGGAAGGCTCTTTTCACGGGCCTCCCGAACGGGTGTAAGTCCGGAGTTGCAGCCACTGGACGATGAAGGTGCTCCAGCCGCGTCGGCAGGAGACCTTGGTGGCGATGCGGCCGCAGAAGACGGCCACCAGTCTTCAGAAGAGATTGGAGAAAAGCAGAGGCAGGTGATCGTGAAGCGGTCCCCGGCAGATCCTACCGACCGAGAAATACAGGAGCACCGTGCTGCTGGGCACGTTGTTCACCGAAGCTGGTGTCTTCACTGCCAGAGGGCTCGGGTAACGGGCCGACGTCACAGAAGCGGTGACCCAGCTCGGGATGAGGATGGTAGGATGCCGTATGTTTCACTAGATTACTTTTACCTGAATTCAGGGCAGGAAAAGAGTGACGCTGATGGCATTTTGCCTTGCTTGGTTGTGAAGTGTCACAAAACTGGGCGCTATTGGGCAAACGTAGTTCCATCAAAGGGTGCAGAATTGTTCGCAGTTGAATGGTTGAAGTCTTGCCTCAATGAAACAGGTTTCAAAGAACTATGCCTGAAGAGCGACAACGAGCCGGCGATCATGGCTTTGAAAAATAAAGTGAAGGAGGAAAGCAGGTTAAAGATTCATCTTGCTGAGGCGCCGGTGGAGGATCACCAGGCGAACGGCTTCATTGAGGTCGCAGTAAGAGAAGTGAAGAGACAGGTCAGGGCGATGCTGTCTGACCTTCAGGAAAGGCTTGGGTTCGAGGTGGAACCGAGTCACCCATGTATGATGTGGCTGCCACGCCATGCAGCCTACCTCCTCACCAGGTTCCGGATTGGACCGGATGGAAAGACACCGTATGAACGGACCTCCGGAAGAAGCTGGAGGATACCGTTGGTAAGTTTTGGGGAGCATATCTTGTTCAGGCCAAGACCCCCAAGAGACGGACGACGTCATGATCTCGCACCAAGAGTGTCCATGGGAATGTTCGTGGGCACAGGACTGCGCAATAACGACATCTTCGTCATGACGGCAAGAGGAATTGTCAAAGGAAATACAATCACTCGAAGACCTCCTGAGGACCAGTTCAAGTACGAGAATTGGAGTGAACTCCGGGGTGTTCCTTGGAGACTCCAATCGCGTGAGGCTGGCAAGGTTCGAGTTGACTTGCCAGTGGTTGTCGGGCCGTTGAGCCGACCACCAGCTGAAGAAGTGATTCCACGGAATCTTTATGTGACGAAGAGCGACATCGAGAAGTACGGTCGGACCCCGTTGTGTCCGGGATGTGAGGCGCAGTTGCTTGAGACAGGGCGCAGGGCCCACAATGCCGAGTGCAGGTTCAGAATCGAAGGCGAGCTCATGAAGTCCGAAGAAGGAAAGAAAAGGATTGAAGCAGCAAAGGTAAGAATAGAATCAGGGCGTCGCCCCAAAGCTCCTAGAGTCGGAGGAGGGGCAGACGAATCAGAGGTTGTGGAAGCTGCCAACGTTCCTGCGTTGGTAGGCATTCCAGAGCCTGATGCCGAAATGGCCTCGGGAGAAGCTGTTGGAGAGCCATTGGAACGAGTCGCACCCCGCGAGCTTGAGGAACGAGAAGAAGAGCCAAGAAGCCCAAAGAAGCATAAGCCCGGCATCAGTCGGACAAAGAGAAGCCCAGAAGCAGATGTTGAGGAGTTGCATCAGCAGATGCAAGAAGTAGTTCCGGCAGAAGGAGCAGCTGAGTCGGGACCAATTCCGGCCGCCGGGAGCAATGACCCCCGGCCACACGCGCCGCCAGTCGCACCTCCAGATGCTTCACCAGGAGGAGACGACATGGCAGACATTGGACATCTGTCCATGTGTCTATGTTCAGTTTTGAGGGAAGCCCGGAAGAAAGGCAATGTGCAGAAGACTGTTTCAGAAATCTTCTCACCCCCAAGAGTTTCAGCGCAAGCTCAATTGGTCGGTTTGCGACCTGGATTCGCAATCGATCTTGAAACAAAGAGAGAGGATGGAGATCATTGGGATCTCAGCAAGGATTCACACATTGAAGACCTTTTTACGCTTTTGGACAAGGAGAAACCCAAACTTTTAGGTGGTTCACCGCCATGTGGACCATTCTCGCAACTTCAGAACCTTGTTGACGCCAGGAACCAAGTCCCCGCGTCAGTTAGGTCAAAGAGACTTCAAGAAGGTAAGAAGCACCTGAGAACCTCAGTGCGTGCTTACCGCGCACAGATGGATGCAGGTCGTTACTTTCTTCACGAGCACCCAAAGGGCGCACGAAGTTGGGAAGAGCCAGAAGTTGAAGAACTACGCAAAGATCCCCGCGTATACGAAGTCACAGGACCTATGTGTCGTTGGAAGATGGAGTCCTCCGATGCATGGGGCAAAGGCCTAGTCAAGAAGGAAACCAGGTGGTTGACCAATTCGCGACACATCGCGGCAATACTATCTGGTGTTTGTTCGAATGTTGAAGGAAAGACTTGGCATAGACATGTGAACCTCATCAACGGCAGGGCGAGATCAGCACAGGTATATCCCCCACTGTTGGTTCGAGGAATACTGGAAGCTCTTAGAAATCAACTGGCTGAAGACGGTGAATTCAGTCAAGCTTTGAATTCCCTCGGTGCTGGGCCAGTACCAGATGCTGTTCCAGTCATCGACGAGGAACAAGAAGTTTACGACAGTTTACCTCCCGCCGATTTGCCAGTCGCAGGACCAGTCTATGATTCCAACACCGGAGCGGAGTTGGATCTAGCTAAGGTAGCAGCTGCGAGACGCGAAGAACTGGATTGGGTGCAGAAGCAATGCATTTACAAGAAGGTGCCTGCAGAACAGGCACGTGCTGCTGGGAAAGTTCCCATCACAATGAAATGGGTCGATCGCAACAAGGGCGACCTGGAAAGACCAAACTACAGGTCTCGGATCGTCTGTCGCGAGATCAAACGATCCAAGAATGCGGACTACATCCCAGAGCATGCAAGCTTTAGTGCAATGCCGCCACTTGAGGCTCTGAAGATGTTACTGTCACTCATGGTAACTCTCCGAACCTCAAAGCGCAATCGAAAACCTCTTAAGCTACGCCTACTGGATATCTCCAGGGCGCATTTCTACGGACATGCGCAACGAGAGATCTTTGTGACTCTTCCAGAAGGTGATCAAGAAGAAGGTATGGTGGGACTGCTGCTGAAAAGCATGTATGGGACGCGCGATGCCGCCCATATCTGGCAGCAATCCTATACAGATGTGCTGCTTGCAGCAGGGTTTAAAAGATCCGCTGCATGGCCAGCAATCTTCTTTCACGAACGCTTGGAAGCAAGGCTGCTAGTTGCTAGTCCATGGAGATGACTTCGTCATTTTGGGCGATGACGCAGCGCAGGAGTTTGTGGAGAAAGCGCTAAGAGAAAAGTACGATCTTCGTGTCGATGGAAGCATTGGCGTAGGAGAGGCAAAGCAGGAGTTTTGTGTCTTGAACCGTCTCGTACGCTTCGACGAGCGGTCAGGATCGATCTTCTACGAGCCAGATCCACGTCACGCCGAGATCTTGCTCAAGGATTTAGGCATGGAGACGTGCAAGCCAGTCAAGAGCCCAAACGAAAAGCTAACTGCAGAAGTGCTAGCCAAAAGGTTAGAACTAGATGTTGATCCACACAGGATCAGTCAATATCGTTCGCTCACTATGCGAGCAGCGTTCTTAGCCCAAGACCGTCCTGATTTGTCAGAGACAGTCAAGTGCCTCGCACGAAAGATGCAAGGACCCACCGAAGCTGATTTCGGTGACCTGAAGCGTCTAGCTAGGTATTTGAAGGGCAATATGCGAATGGTGCAGAAGTTCACTCCGCAGAAGTTCAGCAATGTTGTGTCAGTTCATGCCGACTCGGACTTCGCAGGCTGTCTTCTCACTCGGAAGAGTACTACGGGTTTGGTCTGTTACTATGGGCGACACACTTTGCGCCACTCGAGTAACCTACAGTCCACAGTCAGTCTTTCATCAGGAGAAAGCGAATATTATGCCTTGGTCAAGGCAGTGGCTTCCGGAATGGCAACCCAGGAGCTACTTAGAAGCTGGGGCATTAACGTGAATCTCCAGGTGTACACTGACTCAGCTGCAGCACTTGGAACGTGCAATCGGCTTGGACTTGGGAAATCGAGACACATACAGACCAGATACCTCTGGATTCAGGAGAAGTTGGCCGAGCGATCGTTCGAGCTGATCAAGATCGACACCAAGCTGAATACCGCCGACATCTGTACCAAAGCATTGGCAAGCGAAGCTGCAGAACGCCATCTGAAGGCAATGGGTTTCGAAGTAGTTCAAGGACGTTCATCAATAGCAAAGGCTGTTGTGTAGTGTCCCAAAGTGGACAATGGCCTAAATCACCCACTGTCCAGGAGGGGTGATTCGGGACACGTACCCTCATAAACCATGAGGTGTATGTATCTTGTTTTGGCTCAAGTAAAATAGGAGTGTTGCAATTTTCTGATCAAATGTTATGTAATGTTATGTAATGTGATGTAATGTGATGTAATGTTATGTAATGTGATGTAATGTGATGTAATGTTATGTAATGTTATGTAATGTTATGTAATGTTATGTAATGTTATGTAATCTTATGTAATCTTATGTAGGGTAATGTAGGGTAATGTAGGGCAATGTAGGGTAATGTAGGGTAATGTAGGGTAATGTAGGGTAATGTAGGTAAATGTAGGGTAATGTAGGTATGTAGGTATTATGGTATGGTATGGTATGGCATGGCATGGCATGGTATTGTATGTATGCCTGTGTGTCTGCCTACCTGCCTGCCTGTCTGTCTGTCTGTCTGTCTGTGTGTATGTAAGTAATGTAATGTAATGCAATGCGATGTAATGCAATGCAATGCAATGCAATGTAATGTAATGTAATGTAATGTTTGGTATGGTATGGTATGGTATGTAGTGAAACACTTTTGTGTGCATGGACATGTGGTGAGCATGTTCAGAATGTTGTAGTGTGGGATCAAGGTGTGAGGACACGGATTGTCCGTCACTTTCCAGGAATGTCTGCACGAAGCTTCAGCCATGGCATCTTTTGGTGTGCCTCCAGATCCTGCACGGATTGTCAGCCACTTTCCAGGAATGTCTGCACGAAGCTTCAGCCATGGCATCTTTTGGTGTGCCTCCAGATCCTGCACGGATTGTCAGCCACTTTCCAGGAATGTCTGCACGAAGCTTCAGCCATGGCATCTTTTGGTGTGCCTCCAGATCCCGCACGGATTGTCAGCCACTTTCCAGGAATGTCTGCACGAAGCTTCAGCCATGGCATCTTTTGGTGTGCCTCCAGATCCTGCACGGATTGTCAGCCACTTTCCAGGAATGTCTGCACGAAGCTTCAGCCATGGCATCTTTTGGTGTGCCTCCAGAGCCTGCACGGATTGTCAGTTACTTTCCAGGAATGTCTGCACGAAGCTTCAGCCATGGCATCTTTTGGTGTGCCTCCAGAGCCTGCACGGATTGTCAGTTACTTTCCAGGAATGTCTGCACGAAGCTTCAGCCATGGCATCTTTTGGTGTGCCTTCAGATCCTGCACGGATTGTCAGTTACTTTCCAGGAATGTCTGCACGAAGCTTCAGCCATGGCATCTTTTGGTGTGCCTCCAGAGCCTGCACGGATTGTCAGTTACTTTCCAGGAATGTCTGCACGAAGCTTCAGCCCAATCGGGGCAAACGTGTGCTATCGCGAATGCATCATGCAAAGAACACCGCTCGCAGCAATGCTTTGAGAGCGCACAAAGGATCCGCCTGGTCCTTGGAGTCCCAGGCCAGCCAACGCGGTGCTGCCATGATGAGGAACAGGGCATCCAACTGAGATCCATATTTCATGGTGCAGATTCTGCCGGTTTTTGAGTTTGACCTGATGCTCGGGCTAGCACCTCTGGCATGGTTCCATGGATTTGACTTCCAGCTCGGGCTTAGCAATTGGTCTCTTCGTTCCGCCAAATAGCGACTGCCTTTGGAGAACATGCATCGGCGAAAGCGGCCTTGCCGTGGAACTTGCATGTCCTGTCAAGTTTGAGTTTCGATTTTGAGGACAGTTTGCATTAGGTTTTCCAGGTAGTTGGGTTCATTGCCTCTTGTGAGTTGTGATGTTTTGCATTTTTCATTTGGGATCGTTGAGTTCCACTGTCTTTCACATTTCCGGTCATACCACACGGCACGTTTCATGCATGGTCTAGTTTGGGCCCAATGAACAGTGGTCCTAAGAACGCCATCGGTGATTTATGGCAATGTTTGCGGAATAGCCAGTGCGAAGAACTGGCTCCCAAGCTGCTGGCCTTGGGTATCAGGTCTCCCAATGACTTGATAGTTCACACCAGTGACCTTTTGGCAAATGGAGTGACAAAGTCACAACTGGAGAGCATGCTACAGGCAGCAGCTCCGGCCCCAGCTCGGCCAGTCCAGAGTGGTCGCGCTACGGCGCCAGTGCCGGTTCAGGCACCACACCGTGCCTCTTTCCAAGCGGCAGCAGAGGCTGGGCATCCCAACAATCGCAAGAGGTCCCTTGAAGCACTTGATGAAGACGTGTTGTCCAAGACGACTCACCCTGCTCTTCAGTCTCGCCTCCGAACAGTTCATGCCCTTTGTGCCATTTGGGAAGTGCCTACATTTCCTTTGACACCCTACACCATACGCTGTTTGGGCGCTAGTTTCAAGAAGGGTGGCTATCGGAGTTGCCAACTATATTTTCAAGCAGCAGTCCAACACCAGGTTCGGCACTTGTGTCAGGCAGTCGACCCGTTAGTGCATCAAGTCATCCGAGATGTCACTCGATCAATTCGTCGTGGCCTTGGACCTAGCAAATTAAAAGATTCTTTTGACCCCCTGGTCCTTCACAACATCAGTTGCAGATTCAGTGATGAACCATTCGATTTTGAGAGCCCGTCCCACTTTCGTGACGTGATGGTTCTGTCAATTTGGTTTATGCTCCGCGAGTTGGAACTTGCGGCGTCAATGATGCACCATTTGACTATCAACGAGGGTATGGTCTCCATTCTCATTCCACTTCACAAAACAGATACAGATGGCAGTTCTTGCTATCGCTCCCTGCAGTGTGCGTGCCAGATACAGAGTCAACCTCTTTGTCCCTTGCATGCCGCTGAACGGCACCTGGTACGTCTCCTGCGACTTCAGGAGCACCTGGGAAAACAGACCATTCCTTTGTGTCCAACCCCTGCAGGAACGGTTCCAACCAAGAACATGGTTATCCAACAGGCTCGCCAGACATTGGTTGCTGCGGGAGTTGAGGTTGAACGTCAAGACGCCTTTGGAGTGTCCCAACAACGCTTTGGTGGTCACTGTATGCGAGTGTCAGGCGCACAGTTTTTGGCTCGGGCAGGTGTGCCCATTCCTTCGATTCAACTTTTAGGCAGGTGGACCTCTACCGCGATTGAGCGGTATACCCAGCAAGCTGGATTGGTGACTACACAGGGGATTCCCACCACGGTGTTGAGTGGCGTGTCGACATGTTCGATGCCAGCAACCCAAATGTTGCAAATTGGCGCGGCTCCTGCGACACCAGCAGTTCAACGAGTTGCTTCACAACGCGATTCTCGAGACCTCAAAGAACTGCGTGAGGCACATGAAACTTTGTCCAATTTGGTGGCTACATTGGATCATGACGTCGCAGCACTACGAACTGCTGTTATGCATACTGACACCTCTCTCATCGTGCGTTGCACTTCTCAGGTAGTTCATCGTGCGTTGCACTTCTCAGGTAGTTCATCGCAGCCAAGTCGATGAGGTTTCCAATAACCCGTCCGAGTGGAGGACGCGGTGTGGTTGGCAGTATGGTTCTGCACGTTTCTTCCGTGTAGCTGATGTAAGTGGCGACCTTCGTAGATGTCGCAAGTGTTTTTCTCAGTTTGATGATGAGGTCAGTGGCAGTGCTTCAGGGGGTGAGCACCTTGACGAAGGTAGTGGCGCTTCGTCCTCTGCCTCAGTGTCTGATGTTGAAGACTGAGTCCACAGTGGGTTGGCCTCAGCTTTTATTTTTCGCAAAATTTTTGACAAACCATTGCCGGAAAAACCAGCAGCCCCTTCGCTGCCCAAGCAGAACGTGTCACATGCATGTTTTCAACACAAGCCGTTTTGAGGATTATCATATATATATAAACAATTATAGATATTTTTTATATTTATTTATATTTGCAGCTGTTACACCTGGAGAGCACATGACGCATGTCCGGTCCTACTTTGGCCTACGTGTTCACGAGATTTTGCAATAGTGCCTAGCCAGTGAAGAGCAGTACGGTTCCAGACATACATGACATGTCACATCTTGCGGGATTTCCACTCCTTTGTGTTTGCGGATGTTTGGAGCTTGTTGCACCACATCACTACATGTCATGCCACTCTTCAGCATTGGTTTCAAGTTCGGACGGTCCCTCCAGACGGCCATGACAAGGCTGTCCACTATTGAGGACCTTGCAGATGCAGCTGCAGCCGGGACTGAAGTCCGCAGGTACTTGGAGGACAGGGGCATCAAAACTGTTCCTACTCTGGCCTTGCTAGCAGATACCCAGGATGATCTTGAGAGGGTGTTGATCAATCCTCTCATTGACGGGTGGTCTCATAGCACACCAGCCATCAAGATCCACGAACGGGAAGCTCCCATTGTTCGGGCGATACTCCAACACATGTGGGCGCTGGCATGCAAAGAATGGACTCAACAGATGTCACCACCATCCAGCTCGACACCTTCCGCTCCAGGCACTGTGAGTCCAACAGATCCCAAGGCCTCTACAGCAGATAAGGTTCCTACAACACTGCCTTCTGGAGAATGGAATCGGTTAGTTCAGGCGTACAATTCCATCCTGCTCAATGGTCGCACCAGGCAGTTCCCAGTGTCCGAACTCCTTGGAGCAGAATCTGTGCTCGCCAGAGCATTACACGAACATAGAGTATCCAAGCAATACTCTCCGATTTTACTGGGCGAAATTTTGAGTCGACGTAGCTTTACGTCGTCAGGCGAGATCAATCCTTTGTCCAGGTCTCCAAAGAAGCAGTCTGTCCTTACTCTACAAGACGGTGATTTAGTCCAACAACCAGAATCACCCTGGGAGCCAAGAAGCCTGTTCGCATTGATTGATGGGCTGAACAGCATTCGATGGGCATACGTCCTTATCCAACTTGGAGATGAGCTTGACATTCATGAGTTCTTCGACTGGCTCCAACAAAGATTTCGTTCCCGACCGACGAAATTGGAACAATTGGCATCTTATTTCCTGTCAATTTCCTGGCGTTTGTGCATGTCGATGAGGTCCGGCACTTCATTCGCTGAGGGCGCCCGCGACATTATGAAGGATTGGGACAAGTTCGCGGAGCATATGGCCAAAGAAGACACCAAGAAGGCTTCTCCGATGCGGCCCAAGACCACCTTCGAACCCAAGGGCAATACCAAGCACTCCAAGGGATACAAGTCCAACCACTGGCGGCCGGGCCCATACTCGGGGGTTCCACAACGTGGCAAGGGCTACAACTCTTACCGGTCTTCATGGGCAACACGTCAGTCTGGTCAGCATGATCATGGCGGAAATTGGCAGCAAGACACTTGGAAGGACCCATTTCCCAACAAGTAGGGACAGCACGGGGCCGAGTCGACTGACTTGGTACCCGACCTTGCACGTGAGTCTTTTCCCCAGGTTCATCAGTCACATCCGCCAGTGTTGTTACTGGCATTTTTCGATGGCATTGGGTCTGCAGCCACTGCACTTCATGATATTGGCATCAAGATCTCAGGCTATTTGAGTTGGGAGGTTGACCCTGGGTGCAAGTCCATTGTTGAATTTCATTTTCCATTTGTACAACACCGAGGTGATTTTTCATCAGACAATTCCGAGACCATCGCATCGTCAGTCAAGTCTTTGGATCCTGATTGCACATCTCTAGTCTTGTTTGCCGCTGGTCCACCATGCCCAGATTTTTCCGTGGTTAACTCTAGTGCACTAGGTCGTTTTGGCAGTGAAGGTGCTAAGTTTGATCTGTATTGTGATTTGGTCGAGTCGTTAGAACCTTTGTTGCGCCCTAGGACTATTGTTCACTTGTGTGAGAACGTAGTTTGTCACAACCCTGAAGATGCAGCTCATTTTTCCAAACGCCTCAGAGCTCAACCAATAGTTGTGGACTCTGCAGATACTGCGTTGGTCAGTCGGCCTCGACTGTTTTGGACACGAAAACCTTGGACTGAACCTAACGTAAGCCCTTTCACAGGCAAACCTCTGAAGTGGGGTAAGGTTCACAAAACTCCCAGGTTGATCATGGACGGACCAGTCATGACAGCTTCTGATTTGGAGTTGCCACCAGACACATGGCTTCATCCTTCAGTTGTCAATCGCTCCAAGACCATTCCGTGTTTCACAACGCCTGCTCCTACAGATGATGGGAGGGCACCGCCCAAGCGCCAACGCGGAACCATCGATCCAGCCACACGACACAGGTGGCTCTCAGATGCTCGATGTTTCGCACCATGGCAATACCAAGAACATGCCATGCTGAGCACATGGAATCACCAGTTTGTCGTTTTGCCCCCGGAAGCAAAGGAACAGTTGCATGGTTTTCGTCCAGGATACACAGCAGTAGCCGGTGCCGATGATCGGTCCCGACACCGTATGATCGCTAATAGTTGGCATTTGCATGTTGTACGTTTTCTTTTACTGTTGTTGCTTCAGTTGCCGACCTCGAAGGCAAGTGTTGTTCCATGTTCACCCAAACAGTCTACTTTGCAACAGATGATTTCGTTGGCACAGTGTGAATCAGCATGCATCGGCCCAGGCGGATGGAATGAACCAGCTTCCATTATGCCTCCTGCACATGATATGTGGTGTCATTGGCGACTGTCCAGTAAGGCAGTTCATCCAATTTTTCAAGATCCCCAGGTCGAGCCAGGGATTCATCAGTGTTTTCAGAAGATGTTTGACAGAATCGGTGATTTGCCAAGACTGAGGCGTGAAGTGGTCTCAGACATCCGAGCCTTGGTAGATGATTGGTCTGAACATACTCAACAGTGGTACCATGGCATCCCAGGTCATGTAGCGTCAGTTTACGGTTGGCCTCATTCGCAAATTTTCCAGGTTCCGGTTTTTCTTCATTTGTTGGAACAATGTAACATGACCCATTTGGCTGATCTCACTGCAGATCTCACGTTTGGTTTTGATGTCATCGGAGAGTTGCATCAGGGTCCAGGCTGGCTGCCCCGTACAGATGACAAGTACCAGCACCCTATTTCCTTTGATACGTTCAAGGCCTTGAATTCTGCCCATGTTCGCAGTCGCCTTCAACATTTGCGTCCAGATCCGCATTGGCAATCCATGTTAGATGAATTGTTGCAAGAGAAAGCTAAGGGTCGTCTTGAGGGCCCCTTTTCGTCACCTGCTCATTGGCCGGTACAGATGGTTGGCATCCAGGACCACCCGCTGCAGCCTTTGGATAGTGATCAGTTGTTCGCAGCCATGTCCTTTTCTGTTGAACAGGTCGATAAAGTTCGCCGTATTGAGGATTGGTCGGCAAGTTTCCATAATCAGACCATTCAGGTGAGTGACGTGCCGACACATCATTCCATTCAGCATTTTATCGCGTCAGCTCAGTTTTGCCACAAGGCGGGGTTCACCAGCATAGCTTGGGGTCACGACCTTAATGCAGCTTATCGCCAGTTAGCTGTTCGCGATCCCACACTGTGCCATGTGGTCATGAGCTTGCCACAGGGCCACACTCTTTGGCGCCACAATGCATTATCATTTGGTTCAACAGCAGCAGTTTGGTCTTTCAATCGTCTCGCTGACATGTTAGTGTTTTTAGCACGCAAATTACTTCTTTGCCCCGCTTATCACTATGTTGATGATTTTTCTTCAATTGAACCTGTGGTGACGGCTACATCTGGGTTTGAGTCTTTTGCTGATTTATTTGCACTTTTAGGATTACACATGAAAGAGAAGAAGGCTCAACCTCCAGCCCCCAGTCAACGTATGCTGGGTGTTTTCATTCAAATCACAAATGCAGGTGTTCAGTTGACTCCTTGTCCAGACCGTGTCAAAAAGATCATTCAGATGTTGGACCATGCTCTTGAGACGGGACAGCTGTCTCCATCAGTTGCACAAAAGGTGGCAGGCAAGATCAACTTCTTGAACACAGCTCTTTTCGGACATGCCGGAGCAGCAGCTCTCCATTGTGTGTATACTCGTTCGGCAGGGATCGATGTTCGCAGTCGCTCGGAGTTTACTTTGTCCAAGCCGTTACGCACTTCTTTGATTTTCCTGAGGTCTTTGCTCAGTGACATTTGCCCACGGTGGTTACCGTTTAACCGTTCAGGTCCTCAGGTTGTAGTGTACACAGATGCATTTTTCCAGTTAGGAGACTTGAAGGTTTCTCCGCATGACACTCGGATCCCGCATCACTGGTCTCCACCTCAGAAACAACCACTGATCAATGGCTGGGGTGTTGTCATTCGGATTGATGACCGTACCATGTACGCAATGGGCAGCATTTCAGATAAAGTACTTCGCAGATTTGGCACCAGAAAGGCCTTCATCTATTTTCTCGAAATTGTCGCTCAGGTCATTGTTGTTGTTTTCTTTCGGTCCGTTTTGCCTTCATTTTGGCTTTCATTTATTGATAACCAGGCCGGTTGTTGTGCACTTTTGAAAGGATATGGTCGTGATGATGTAGTTAACCATCTGTTGTCCTTTACTTGGAGTTTGTTAGCAAAGCACGCTTCGACACCGCACTTTCATTATGTTCCTTCAGATCTCAACGTAGCTGATTCAATCTCGCGTGGCGATGACTCTGACGCGGTTCGGTTGCACTGGCAACGCGTACATTTGGATTTGCATGCCTTTGAGGATTTGCTCCTTTTGGTAGCAGATGATTTGCACTTTGCGACTACCAATGCAGTTGACATGGCACTCCAACTGGCTCTCAATTTCTGACTATAGCACACGATGGATTGGGAATGCAGCCTTCGTGTGGGAAGAAGAGACTGCATTTGGCATTCATCACTTCTTGCTGGCCAAAACTATGCATCCCAATCGCCTGGAGACAAAAAGAAGTTCTGAAAGCGAGCGTGTGCAGTCTGAATTTGAGAACCAACATGTCGTGAAACACTTTTGTGTGCATGGACATGTGGTGAGCATGTTCAGAATGTTGTAGTGTGGGATCAAGGTGTGAGGACACCCATCCTACACCCACCCATTTGTGAATTCATTTGTCTCTTGTCGATATGTACAGGAACAGCGGGAAGAAGAGACTGCATTTGGCATTCATCACTTCTTGCTGGCCAAAACTATGCATCCCAATCGCCTGGAGACAAAAAGAAGTTCTGAAAGCGAGCGTGTGCAGTCTGAATTTGAGAACCAACATGTCTGTATGTATGTATGTATGTATGTATGTATGTATGTATGTATGTATGTATATTGTACGCACCTAGACACCAGGTGATTGGACAGTCTACTGAACTATTGCAGGTTTCATTTCTGTATACATATTGCAATATATACACAAACACGGATACATGCGTGAGGTGCTGGTACTGTATGATCTATGCACACGATTTTATATGTCTATGTTGCGACACTTTTATGCACACACATTGCGCTCTTCATTTTAATGTTTTGCTGCCATACAAACAGAGCAAAGCCAAAGTGGACAGAGCCAGTCAAGGCCTTTGCCTTGTGGAAGCAGATGCAGTGCCCATCCCGGTGCTTTAGCTTTTCTGTTAGCTCTGGACAAGCCAACCCGTGACGTTACCGCACGATGCTCAGCTTCCTCGGCCACTCTGGCTCAGGCACATTTAGGGTGCATCAGTTGTTCTTCAGAACGGTTTTTCAGACGGTTTTATTCATAACGTCGTTCTGACCTGTTCACTTTGCCGCATCAAAAGTGTGATTATTTTCCTCGAAGGAGGAACAGTTAGTATGGCAGATCAGGACCAACTTGAACAGACCCAAAGGATTTCCTGACATTTGAAAGCTTTGGCAATCTTCGGGGTATCTTGCCATGGTGGAAGCAGAACCAGCGCGACTCTGTTGCCAACCCTATCAGAGGCTCTTACAGGTAGCCACTACCGAGGAACAAGTGCAAACTGAGCCCCCTAAGGAGGTTGGGCACCCCAGCGCCTGGCCAAGGGACAAGGGACAGTCAGCGGTTCGCTTGCACTCGCCAAATTTGGATCGCTTGCACCCTCCTGATTTGCATTGCTTGAGCCTGCTCCATTGCTCTCACAGTCATGATCATGTTCCTGATCATGTTCCTGATCATGCTCCAGCCCATGCTCCTCCTCCTCCTCCTCCTCCTCATATTCCTCATATTCCTCATATTCCTCATATATTCATCATATTCATCATATTCACCATATTAATCATATTAATCATATTAATCATATTAATCATACTAATCATATTAATCGTCGTCGTCGTCGTCGTCATCATCATCATCATCACCATCATCACCATCATCACCATCATCACCATCATCATCATCATCGTCATCGTCATCGTCATCGTCATCATCACCATCACCATCACCATGACCATCATCATCATCATCATCACCATCACCATCACCGCCACCACCACCACCACCATCACCACCACCATCATCATCACCACCATCACCATCACCATCACCATCACCATCATCATCATCATCCTCCTCCTCGGTATCATCATCATCATCATCACCACCATCACCATCACCATCATCCCTAAAAACCGCCTTCAGTGCAACAAGTGATAACCCTAAAGGTGTAGTACTAGCCCTTCCTAAGGTACCTGCAAGAACATGGAAAAACCTAGCCCGTCTCAAGGTAAGTGCAACAACATGTAAACCCTAGAGGTGTAGTAGCCCGTCTTGAGGTAAGTGCAACAACGTGAAGACCCTAAAGTGAATACCCTAAAGGACATGCAGCAACCCGTCTTGAGATAAGTCAACAACATGAAGACCCCAAAAGTGTGGTAGCCCGTCTTAAGTGCAACAACATGACATCGATAACCCTAAAGGTGCCTAAACCCGTCTTAAAGTAAGTGGAAATTACTATGGGTGTGAGTGATCCGAATCGGTTGGGTGCAAGTGATCTCCTTGCGTCAAGGGACTGTATGAAAAGTCTCAAGGTGCACCCAAGCCCAATGGCTTTCAATGGGTGCCTGCAATTGGCAGGACCACATTGATCTACCAGCTGACATCTATGGCTTGACAATATCAGTCGCAGCATAGCAGCCTTAGCCGATGATCAGCGTTCCAAATGGGCAGGATCAAGAGGCTAGTGCTCCATGTGAAACCCAGAATATGTTGTGTGGTTCATTTTGTTTGCTACCATTATTTAACCTGTTTTAGCCTTCGTTAAGGTTGACCAGAAGGTCAACTGGACAGCGGACTTTGGAGCTCCACCAAGGCCACTTCTGACTTGCCACACGTCCTTGAAGGGTCCAGGACCACGTTCCTTGGACTTAGGAGTTTTTTGGGCATCCAGCTTGGCGACCCCCACAAAATAGATGGTTAAAATTCGCCCGTAGTAGTTGGTACCGCTTAATAAGTCCCAAATAAATCTGGTACAACAGAGCCGCCCAGTTTCCACTTGCTGCGCTTGTTCTTCGGCCTCGCATGTTTGGCGATCAATGTATGGCTGCAGCTGATGACTCTTGGCAGATGGGGGGGTGCCAATGTGCTCACAGAGGGGAAAATGAGTGTGCTTGGAATGAAACGAGACCATAGTTTTGCCTAAGGATCGTCATGGAAGTGGACAGGTACATCGTTGCACGTTCCTTCGCTGCCATGAATCCCTGAGACAGGGATTGGAATATATTATGAGTACCTGATTCCAGGGTGTGGGAGAGTTTGTGGCATTCCAAGGTGCAGTTCACAACACGCAGGTTCCGGGCTGCATTTACCCAGCTGTTTTGCCTCAGTGTCACTTGGTCATGGGCAGTATACTGTTGACAGGAAATTGGAAAGCATATCGACAGTAACTGTCAGCATGTGAGCTTTGGAAGCTTGCAAGAATTAGCCAATCCTTGATATGTTTCATCCCTCGACGAAGACACCTCTTGTGCCAAAAGGTTTTCTATGAAGTCTTGCCTTCCACGCATTGATGCGTGTCTCGTTTCTTTTTTTGCGCAGGCGAATTATGCGCAGTATCACGCAGAAGTCTTCGACATTGATGGGAACTTCTTGGCTGACAAGTGGGCGGACTGGGACGGACCGAAGGCCAGATGCCCACCAGCTCCCGAGGGTTTAGGCAGAGTTGGTCCTGCTGTTTGTTTTTGGAAAGCATTTTCCAAGGAATCCGCCTGCAGCAGCATCAGTTTCACTGAGCTTTCTGAAGGCAAAGCTTTGTGGCATGGGACTCTCCAAAGTGAAGTTCACTGCCAGCATCATTTTCCTCTGGACTATCAGGAGGGCTTCAGGGTGAGGGATGAGGGATCTGCATGGGGGTTGCTGCAGCTGCAGTTTTCTTCTCATGCCACTGTAGTCAGGTTTCAGTACGAAATGCGTCCAAACTGCATATTTCATGCTGGGAGAGAGACAGCTGCTTTCTGACGGATCGAGCATGCACAGTACATGTCGTTTTGCTGATTCCAGCAGTGCCAGTGCCAGGATGCTGAGCGAGGTCAGATCTTGTCTTCAGCTGACACATGACATTTTCCAAGTACCTCGCACACAACCATCTACAACTTCCACGGGACGGAAAGCCCGTGCAACTGTGTTCCTTGCCGTTGTTTGCGCCCTGCTGCTTTCTTTGTGCTGTATGTTGATGGGTCCGGAGGGTTGGGCTGAATAGATGCACATGCATTCCAGAATAGAGTATTCTCTCGAAGCACTAGTAAGGATATGAAGGACCAATCCGAGGACAATAGGTTATTACTCTGATTTCAAACTACCCAACGTAGCTTCAAAGGTTGCCAAAAGCTACAAGCCTAGCATGAAAGTCTTCAAAGCCCCTCATTTCGTTTCGATTATCGGGTCCTTGTTTCAAAGCTCTGTTGCGACGACGTGTGCGTGCTGCCTTCCTAAAGATGAAATTATTAGACATCTTCAGAAAACCGCGGAGTCCAGCATGCTTCAGTTAAAATTGTTGGACTCCAGGGCAGCGCTCAATGAGAACAACGAATTCGAGAGATTCGATGTGATGATCATCGACATGCCAGCACGGATGTGTTTAGCGAGCTGTGTCACCATACCGAACCTTGGCTAATTTGCTACTTTGAATTCTTGTGTTTGACCACGGGCCTTGCACACTCGTCTGAAGACGTGCTGGGCTTGATGCCAGTTTGTTGCATTCTGCTGCTTCACTGCTTCACTTGTCTTGACTGATGTTGAGTTTTCTGCGCGCTGCTAACATGTCTAGAAGGAAGCTCATTGTTGGTATTGCACTTCTCTACGGTGGTTGTCGATGGTTTGCAGCTACTGAGTCTTGGGAGGACCGCTAAAGTGCTAGGCCTATAGGATCAAACTGACAATGAAGACGACCCACTCTTTCTCCAGTGGACGCCATGTTGTGTTCAAACGTTTGGGAAAACGGCCTGCGGAAGGACCTGATTCTCAATGCCCTGGCGCTGGAGTTTGCCCGAAGCTCAGCTGGTCCGCCTGGACGAATTGTTGCAGCAGTTTCGACTGTTTTGACCAAGGTGATCGGCATCGATGAGTTGATCTTTGAAGCCTTCGCTCCATTACGTGCCAAGCAAACTGTGGAGAAGACGAAGTTGGTCCACGTCCACCCGGACCGTGATGCGAAGTAGCCATGGGATGCTTAGTGACTTAGTGATGACAGGATCCACAGGCCCACGACCTTTGGGCCTGTGGGGCCTCAAAGGTTTACCATTTGTTAAGACCAAAGAGCCTGAGAGGCACTTTCTGCGCAGTAGTGTTTGAAAATTGTGGCAGGAGGACTCTGTTGGGAAAACCCGAGATGACAAATTGGTCATGAACACTCTGTGGAGACTACTTCAGCTCTTTCTATGCATGGCGCCTTTGACAGCATCTTGAATTCTGCACCTGTCAATATCAGTGCCTCTTGTGAGTTGTGCGTCAAAACTCGGAGCTGACAGGTTTGGGCGTACATTTACACCACGAAGTTGCAGCAGGTGATTCCAAACTTCCCGGCTGTCGCAAGCTCATTCCTCCACTCATCCAAGTGTCCTGCACCTTGAGACCCGTCTTGGCTTGGACAGAACGTTGCACCAAGGACGTTCACACGCCTTGTTCAGGCTACCTTGATGCACAGGCCAGCCTGTTCTGTGAGACTCTTGGATGAATTGGAAGCGCTGCTGAGCATCAGTGATAAACTGATAACATTATTCCCCACATCTTTGTGCGAGGTTCTTGTTTTGATTTTGTATCCCGCTACTCCTCCTCCTCCCCCTCCTCCTCCTCCTCGTCCTCCTCCTCCTCCGCCGCCTCCCTGTCACACTCAACGTTGTCACATACCATCTTTCACACACGACTTTGTCACACACTTGCTCAGAAACAACATTGCGAATTTTGTTGTGGAGTGCATCAAACGTGCACAAAACAAGCCCTTTCAAACTGCCAGGAAAAATTAGTTGATCCAGCGTGAATTTCAGTGTGAAGTAAACATTCTGAAGAAGGTTCTGATGCAGCGAAGTCCAAAATAAAATAAAATAATGCCAGATTGCGACAACAGTGCAGAAATTGAAACGGTTTTGAACGACATGCCGGTACTTGGCTTAGCCGGTTGCCATTCAGAGAAATGAAAATTGATGCAGGTACGCAGAGCTGATCAGGCTCTGTATCACCACGAACTGACAGTGTCTTCGTTGGGCAGTGTCTGTCAGTCGTGCACTGCCCCCCTGCAAGTACGAAGTAAAATTGAACCAAGTCAAAGCAATAGGAAGTTTTACATCTCCCCTGCAAGTACGAAGTAAAATTGAACCAAGTCAAAGCTATAGGAAGTTTTACATCTTTTCAGATGTTCCACACACACGCCTCGCTGCCGCGAGGCTTTTTTCAAATTCATCCACCTTGAGAGCTCTTATCCGTTCCCTGAAGCGGAAATGGCTTCAAAATACAGGGAAGAAACATCGAATGAATTAATCCTAAAACTCACAGGCTGTCATCAGGTAATGCCTCCATGCGTCGTGCTTGGATAGACAAAGTCCTTGTGGATTCCGCCAAGTGGCTAGCAAGATGAGCCAAGTCTGCCGCCGAGAAGATCTGAACTGGGTGTCGGGAAAGATCTCCTTCAGGATCCTCCAGACGTTCGAGTATGGCCATGTTGGCCTCCCTGTCATTGTTGAGGATGTTCCAGAAAAACGTTGCCAGTTGATGAATCTGGACAGGAGGTGGATTGATGTCAGCATTGGCAATGAGAGAATCGGTGTCATCCATGACGGATTCATGTGCCGATGTAGGGCTTTCTGGACCGTCAGCTTGATGGGGACGCCAGTTACCATATGGAGAGGTCTCGGGGATCTGAAAGTAGCGTCGCCAGTAGTTGGCGAGCTGGGAGGATTGATCCCATGAATCAATCCAGCCATTCTGTCCGGCACGAACATGGCCGATGATGCCGTTGAAAAAATATTCAGGCTGCCTGTTGTGGTGGCGGCCACGTCGATCCACTTCCGTCACCATAAGTCGTCGAAGCGCCGGTTGATCGTCATCTTCTGGAGGTGATTGGACTTCCACAAAATAGTATGCATGGAGCTGACGTCGGACTTCTTCCATCTCTTGCTGGAGTGGATATGATTCTCCTGTAGGAGTAGGTAGAATTGGAGCTTGATGATCGGCAGGAGATGGTATGGGTGTGGCAAGATTTGCCGAAGAGTACCCATAGTGGGTTGTGTACTCGCCTGATGCATTAGGTGAGAGGGAACTTCCAGCTTGGGGAGCATTGTCGCCACGGGGCGGCTGCAATAGATCCGAAGGAGCAGCAGTGCTACTGGATTGGCCATGACTGCGGGATCTCCATGAAACACGACGTGGCTTGCTCATGGATGAAGAAGGACGCGTGAGACCGGCAAATGAGGAATCACGCTTGGTCATGGTACAGCTGGAGCCAAGAGCTAAAGACTTTAACAGGTAAAAAACAACAAGAAGCAAAAGCAAACCACACAAGCAAACGGGAGAGTCCCATGTCCCTACATGTAAGAGACTTTTAACCTTAAGGAAGCATGTTGCGGTTTGGAAGAGCCTCATGGCAGCTCAAGCGCATTATGTAAGGCTGAATGTGAGACGTAAAGGGATGAATGTGATGTGAAAAGAACTCATTATGTTCTTGTCCCTCAGTCCAGTGAGAGCGGTATGCGTTCAAATAGGTGACGAGGTATTCTTCGTTGCGGAGAGCAAACGTATCTCCAGTATCATCTTGCCATCTGATGTCCATGGCTGAAGGAGATAAGAATCGATCCCACGTATACCAAATGTGCTGGCTGATGCAATACAACAGGTTGTACACCGTGAAGGTTTCCAACCTGTGTGTGTTGAGCAGGATGTTGAATGTGAACAATGCACGTTCTTCGACCGGAGTGAGGCGAGGGAGAACCTCACATGTTGTAGCGGCCATCGAGTGATCATGGGTTTTGTTCATGAGCGGACGGACTTGTTCAATGTCAACGATGACCAAGACCTTTCGGACTTGAGGAGCAGGAGGAGGTTCTTCAGGTCGAGGATTTCGTTGTCTGTCCTGTTGATGAGTGCCACGGTTTTGCCACATATTGTCGTCCCGAGAGCGGGAGCGTTCAGGAGCTGTTCGTTGACGATAATATGAATGAGCCATACTTGCTGTGGGTGAACAGACACCAAGCAAGAACATTCATCCCAGGTAAAAGAAAGACTGACCAAAAGGGAGACCTCAAAAAAGGACACGAAGAAAAGCAAAAAGAAAGGGAAACCCGAAGCAAGTCAACAACAGCCCCAAATGAGGCAGCAATGGCGCCTTTTTTGACATCGCAAGAGTTGATGCTAAAGTCAGTCATCACCCTCCAATTCATGAGGTGGATTTCCCGGACCCGGTGGGTCATTCACTTCTGATGTCTGTTTCAGAAGTCCCCAGCGAAGCTTGCAGAGCTGAGGATCGCGATGGAGTCTTGCTCCAATTGTTTTCCACGAAGGTCTGGACTTTGTGTCCTGTTTCATGCCAATCAATTCCTGGTCATCGGCGTGGGTCCACGGACGAGCCGGATCAGGAGGTGTATTAGCAGGAATAGCATGAGTGATGTGCATCTGTGGAGACGGCGGAGCTTTTGGGTTGGGAGTCAAGGTCAGGGGCGGTGTTCTGGGTCTTGCTTTCCCACCATGAATGTAGCTGATATCCTCTCTTGACGCAGCTTCACCATCGGAGTCATCCGAATTCATGTCTGCTGAACGGGCGTCTGAAATACTGGGTAACGAGGTCGAATGGACAGCATCAAGATTGTGGGCGAGTCTAGGTTCAGGAATTGACTCCCCTTTCTGTTTCTTTTTTGGTTGTGGGTCCACCAGAGATGATGCCCGTTGTTTTGATCGCACTGGCACAGGTGTGGTAGTGCGTGTGGGGGCCGTAGGGAAGGTAATCGTTGTTGTGGATCCAGGAGTCGGAGTTGGACCAGGGTCCGTCACAAGACTGGCAGGTCGAGATGTACCAGTGGTGAGAATAGATGTATTGATTGGTGGAGAGCTTGTTGATGCCGGTCGCAGGAACGGTTCTGGATTCAAGACCATGTGGGAAGGGATGCCTCCATGTGATACCAAGGTCGGAGGACCTTCGGATGTCGGGCGAGGTACAAAGTATGCAGGCCTCTGGTGTTTGGATGATCAAGACGGAAATTGGCCGGAGGCGGCGCTTCATCATATTCAATGGAGGGCTCGAAGAAAGGCAAGAGTCCTGCCAGATAGTTGAGATGCATGATAGCTCTAGCCAAATGATGATGGAACGCTCGTCCTTGAGCATGATCCATGAGCGATCAAACGAAAGTGGAGCAAAAGGAAAGCGTAGCTTGAGCCAGGGAGCTGACGGAGGGAAACAAGAGACCACAGAAAGACAACAACCAAGAGAAGGGACAGGAAGAAACAAGAAACAAGAAAGAGGAAAAAACAACGGGAACACACAAAAGAGAACCCCATGCCAAAAACAGCAGGAGCAATTTTTGAGACCTGCAAACTTGAGTTCTGATGCTGAATCAAAAGTTGGTTTGAGATGGCCTGAAGTTCCTCATTGGGAAAGCCAGCTCGTACGTATAATCGAATTAGTTGTGCCAAGCCTTGTTGGACACGCTGAGATGGGAAAGCTCCTTTGATGACGATGTGACATCTTGACCGAAAGCCGCTGAGCAGGACTGAAGGAGGTGAAGCGGAGAATGGTGAGAGGACTTGTGACACCTGTGTTGGTCCCTGATAGATCAATTCAAGTGGCTTTGTTTCGATCATAAAGCCAAGGAATTCTTGATCAGGCTCAGTTTCGAGAATAATAGGCTTTCCATAGAAGCCGTCGCCCAATAAAACTTCATATGGCTCAAAAGAGGTCAGGCGTTTGTCACCGAAAATGAGGCGATTGTCAACGTAACGGACATGTTTAATGAACAGGTGATGATTGGAGAGAAGTTGATGGAAGGTGTGGTACCAAATCTGTTCACTGATGGATACAACCATGAGACATAGGGCCGGAGAAAGAGGACTGCCCATGGGACTGCCTCGGCGTTGGCGGATGCAACGTTGTCCCAAGGCGAATGTCTGCATATGCAAGGCGGACTTGATCAAGTCTGGTACATCACCGACGACAATCTTCCGAGTGACATTAAGGCGACGAAAGGTTCGTCCTTTGATGATGTCTCCTGGATTGTTGGACTTTCCAGGGTAGACAGAGAAAACTTCCTCATCGTAGACATTCATCTTGGGCCGGAGAAAGTCAAGGAGCATGAACCAGGAACGAAGGAATCTGTCTTGATCAATACTTGTGAAAAAGCCGGCCAAGTCTTGATTGACCAAGATCAAATCGGCGTCGACAGGCGCCGATCGCAATATCGCGAGCAGAGTGTACACGTCGCCTGTAGCGAAATGATTTGGACATGCCGTAGGGATAAGCTGGAAGATGAGTCTGGCAAGAATGTTGAGCATTGGTCTGAATGGGGAGTCGACAAAGGAAATAATCGGCCTGCCACTGCGGAAGTCTTTCTTCCTTTTGGCCAGAATATACCCAGATGGAAGCTGGCGACCCGATCCCACTGCCCACGGATATGCACGTCCGTGCTGGCGTTGAAGGGATTCAACCAAGGAAGTCACGATTGATGATGGTTTGCTGGGTAGGGATTCAAAGATGGA